TGAAAGTGAGCATGCGCAGAAAAAGTTATAAAACAGGGCGAGCACCTATAACGGCCTTACATAAAAATATCACCAGAATTATTGACAATTAGGAGGACCACTTATTTAGATGATCCTCTCAGAAATAAAAGATCGTCCTCTATAACTTTATTTGTTTTAACTTTTACCCCAAATGTAGTTATTTTAATTAGATCATCAACATTTACTCCTTTGGGATTCTTTTCTAATTCTTTTTACTTTGGTCCTTTGCAAGACACTGTCTAGTTGGAGTAATGAGTGGGTAACAGAGCAACTAAGAGCAACTGCAGAGAGCTTTGTTTAACTGTTTGACTGTTTCCTGGTCTGCACCTTGGCCTGTCAGGGTTTTGGAGGACTAATAAATTTGGTCAGATTCCTAGAAAGAAGAGCTGCACCATCCAAAGCGGGATGGAGGCCGTCTCTCAAACTTAAATTTCTCATAATTTTTCACATTCTCACAGACGACCTGTGTTGGATAGATCTTAGGCCAGAAATGAGTACATTTATTCTGGCCTGTTTGTTTACTTTTGCAGAATTTTCATTGGGCAACCACACAGCCAACTAATCTCTCCAAACAGCAGTGTTGTGGACCCCATTTATCACAAATTAAACTAGTTTGTTTTTCATTGATTTTTTTATCTGCCCTTTTCTACATGAAAAAATATCAAACATCCATGGCGTGTGATACCCATATCTTAGTGGTAGCTGCTAACCCTGGGATTTAAAATCTACGGTGAACAAATAAAAATTAAAATTTTCACAACTAAATAAATACATTTGTTCCCCTTTGTACATGGGCAGTAAACCCAGTTCAAAAGCAGCCTGTCATGGTCTCATAACTTGAAATTGCATAAAGACTGAACAAAATAGCAATACAAATATATGCGTTTCGTTCATCAAACCACTGTTTGTGTGACCTGATACAGTTCAACATCAGAGATGGCAAAAGTACTCACTTTCCATACTTGAGTAAAAGTACAGATACTTGTGTTAAAAAATACTCTGGTAAAAGTGGAAGTACTCATTAAACTTCTTTACTCAAGTAAAAGTAACAAAGTACAGGCTTGTAAATTTACTTAAAGTATAAAAGTAAAAGTAGAAACCACTTTTTTCATGCCGTTGCCTACATTTTAAATGGATGTCTGCCAATAGGACTAGATCTCCGTTGTGTTCATTTTCAATCATCTCGTCGTCCATACTACTATGCTAACGCCACCGCCACCAAGCTGCAATGATTTGCCCCAAATGAATACCGCCGAATCTGTCGATTCATCTTGTAGTGGTGCGTGAAATGCAACAAAGATTCCCATCCAATTAGATTGAATTTGGTATTGAACCAAAACAAGAAAATCAAGGAAAAGAGAGAGCATTTGAAAATATATATACATGTTTTAGGCTAAAAGAAGTAAAGAGCTAAGTTAAAGCTGCAGTAAAACTTATTGTTCATATGTATCAGGGCAGATTTACAGAACAGAGTGTAGAAAACAAACAGGTGCAGATGGGAAGGCTGAGAATGACCTTGCTCCGACAAACACACAGAAAAAGCTGATTAACAGGGGAGCAGAAAGGCAGGAAGCAACTCCATATTTGGAGATAGGAAGTAGGGAGTAGGATCATTCTCTGGGACTGTCTGTGTGAAACTGTAAGATTTTCCCCTATGAAGATAATAAAAAGAGTTGGTGTTGCAGGGGGGGTCAGAGTTGCTGTTCGCAGATGCATGCTGCTGATGCTCCTCTCCCTTTGCAAAGGCGAATCGAAGCTTTGTTGTCCAGAATTTTTTTATAACACTACTTCTCACTTAAGTTATCTGCACTTGAATTAACGTACTGTCGTCTATAATTCTCTTCTTGACGACTTAAAATTGAAGCTAAGTTTTATAAAAATTCAAAGTTCTTAAAAAGCAGAAAAAGTCTCAAACAAAGATCAAAAAATTCAGGCAGGGGCAGCTGAGTCCGGGTCCAGTGTGTTTATTGCTAAACACAACACATTCACATGGAGCTGGTCACCGGTGAGCATCAGCTGAACAAATGGTGAACACAGCTCCCTTTTATACATTTCTTATCGGTGGAAAACCCCCTTCAGAACATATTTCAGTCTTTGGTAAAGGTCACATTGATATTTATCTGCAAATCACAGTGTCATTCATAGACACATCTCATTCTTGTGAGAGCAGTCTCTCAGGCCATGAAAACATCTGGTGCATTCAAATCAGAAACTTATGACAGTTTAATCACAAACATGTTGGAATACATCCTTTCCTTATTTCAAGCCATGTCAGTCTGGCCTAGTGCTCCCCCCTCGTGTCTCAGTCAAAGCATCACCCTTTCTGGGACCATTACCGCTCCGTGTGCCTTGAAAATAACAACTCTATTTATCACAAGTTGTATGGCCAAATTTTGCTGAGCTGGGCAACCTTGAGATGTCAAATATTTCATTTTTAATGAGTGGGCTTTCTTATCACTATGGGGCCTCAACCTTGCGTTTTCCTGCAGGTTCCACTCCTCTTGGTCCAGGTGCAATGGTTACACACCCTCACTGCTCTGTTTTTCTCCTTTTTGGCCTTGAATGGCTCTTATAACAGTATTTGTGAGAACAACTTTAAACTTATAAAACATTAACTTTATTTTATCTTATGATTAGTGCAGATTAATACACAACAGTACCCGGGGGAAAACCATGACAGTGTTTTTCAACACATGGAATGTAATAACAAGAAAAGGACTTTTTGTCACAATTTGAAAAATAAAGTTTGAATAGTTGGAAGGAAGCATGAGAAGCCCAATTGTTCTGTTTGTAGTCAGAAGACCAGTTTTTCTTGAAAATGTGCTGTTTACACATGTGTTGCTTTCTTAATGATAGGTCGAAATGGATTTATATCTACATTCAGAAATTTACATAGCGGGTGGACTTACTCCTTTAAACTGCATTTTTTATTTATAGCTTATGGTTAAGAAGAAGAAATGAGACTCCATTGTGAGACAGATTTTAGTTTTTTTCTTCACACCTGTGAACGACGCTATTCTTTGTGTGGGATTCTTTGCACTAACTGTTTTTCTGTGGATACAAGTTAATCTAATCCGGAAAAAAAATATATGTCTGGTTGAGTTTTTGCGAACAGTCTTTAGGAATATTTTTTCAGGAGGCATCAACTCGCCACCTACGCTTCAGGAACATCTGCAGTGTGCATAGATTTCAACCAGTTAAACGCGCCACAATTTAATCTATCACACCTTCAACTCCAAAGCTACAAAAATACTACACTTATTAGACATACTATTATCACTAAAGGTGGCAGAGGAATAATTAAACATCCAACACAGAAAGCAGGAGTACGGAAGCTGGGAGCGGTCATACTCGACTTTTTAATTTTCATTTGTATTCTCGAGATAATGACATAGCCATCTCGTTACCACGGTTAAACCATGAATTATTTTCTCGAGATAACGATAATTATCTTGTTATCACAAGAAAACAGTTATTGATTTCTTGAGATAACAAGATGATTAACCTGCATGAGTAATGAATGAGACTGGGCAACAGCCCTGGATTCCCAGTCCAGTCTCGTTACTGCTTGTGCACTTTTCACTAATTTTTCACTTCTTTTCACTCATTTTCAGGTAGTGGTGGATGATTGGATTGCATGGAATACAGTAGAAACAAATCAGATTTTTTCTTTTTTTATGAAAATTTTTAATCTGGACTCATTCTGAGGGTTAATGCATCTTATACCTGTTACTGGCGTTAAAGGTAGGGCTGTTCAGAAAACACCGCTGTAGGTACCAGGTCCCCGTGAGTTGTCAGATCTGCTCAGGCCACTGATGTTATTGATTGGCTGAACGTTGCAACAATGACGTAAAACATAGTGGTCGCCCAGACAACGATAATGACAATGCACCATCCATGTGGGAGCGTCTGTAATGTTAGCGTGTGTAACGACTGATGAAGTTTCACCTGATTGTTAACAAAATTGAAAAAATATGTTTATGGTGGTCAAAGTAACTTCAAGACCATGATATAAAGGGGGAGAGCTGGGTAGCATTGTGGCTAGCTGTGCTCAGTAGCTAACAGGTTAGCCCATTTTAGCTTGGTCAGTTCACCATATTAAGCCACAGTACTTTTAACTTTCTGTCAACAACAATCGTTTGATTTCTACAAGGAGAATAACTCGTTTTCTTTCTAAAATCTCTACCAAAGTCATTTTTAAGATGTTCCATTTGTCCTCCACTGCCTTCATATTTTAATTAAAAGAATAAGAGGAAGCACAAGACTTTTTGTGCCCACTTGTTAAATAACAGAGCTCATTCTGTTTTAGAGGGCAGTGCTTTCCTTCAAGACTGAGAATGATTATTTTCTACCTTTAGCTACTTTAGATCACAGAGAAAACGTAAAATAATAGCAAATATGTTATTGTAATAATATGTTCAGACCCCAGGAGAGATCTGATTGTTAAAAAATGGGTGCAGAGGAAAAAAAGAAGAAAGAGTCGGAAAGAGTCAAGGGAGGGGAGAAAGAGAAGCACTGTTCTCTGTTTATTCACTGGATTGCCCGTTAGTAGTACGGGCTGGAGTGAAGCCACCAGCCGCCATATTGGTACTCCCTAGTTAGACCGGTCACAATGTGAACGATATGTGTGCTACAGCATCAAACAACGATGATGTTCGCATTTTCAGGGGGGCTTAAGACTCGAGGAAGTCTATAAATCATGTAATATGACATATTATACAAATCCATTACAATAAAATTAATATGTTAATCCAACATAATACAGATGTGCCAAAAGTGCTAAATTGATGATGTACATGTAATATATATTTATTGATGACATTACTGTGTTAATTAAATATTACATATCATTACACGGTATCACATCAAAAATTAGAAGCACGTGTCTGTTTAATAATGTAATATATATATATATATATATATATATATATATATATATATATATATATATATATATATATATATATATACACAGAGAGAGATAGATAGATAGATAGATAGATAGATAGATAGATAGAGATGGGTGAAATGTTTTAGTTCAGCATAACATTGAATATATTTCAGCAAATGACTTTGTCAAAAAAGAAATACAACAAACACTACAAAAACGACAGCGTCATCCACAAAATTAAGAAGAATACATTGACATTTCACACTGAATTAGTTTATGTTTACTCTACTTTCTATTTAAACAATGTCAATGGCTAAGATAGCCATACTAATGTTACTCTACATATTATACTATAGGATACATTGGCATACATTTGGATTTTCTTAGTTAGTACATCCACTGGCTGTAAATTTACCTGTGAATTGGGTTCCCATAGCTAGAAAAAGGCTTGTTTTTGCAGCCAGATGCTACACAGGCAGGCATTTCTATGGCTCGTCTCCGTGGGAGTGGGGAGTACCAATATGGCGGCCGATTACTTCATTTTTTGGGGCTATCAGCAATTGACTGAATAAATAGAGATCAGCAGAGAGAAGCCATAGTGATGCTAAGCTGGCGCTAGCCTAGGCTAGTCAGTCCTTTCTACCAGAAATAACAGCATGTAAAAGCAACAAGTGCTCAGTAGAGAAGTGTAGCAGAAGGTGCTATGTTTTAAAGTGCTTCTGTACAGTTAGGGTTACAGAGATATCACAGAAAAAAAAGATCTTCATTCCAACAGAGATAGCCTGAACAACAACGCAGCTCCGCAGTAAAAACAGGAAGTGAACACAATACGTCTCACCAACAGAAGCAGTATTTGGTCTAGTGGCAGGGTCTGCATACCTCACATGCACCATTTGATTTAATCAACTAAATCACTTTTGGTAGAAGAATATAATAGCACTAATTTTGGTTTGCAGGCAAAAAATGGATCCCTTCACAGTCTAACTTAGAAGCAAAAAATGTGTATGACATAGATCTGCATCCATAGACAAAGAGAGGAGAAGGAACTTCAGATTGGATTCAGGGAGCTTTTAAACCTTTCTTTGTGATCCCTAACTGCTTTTATAGATGACCTCAGCCAGAGCTAACACATCTTTCCTTCTCTCATTTTACTCAACACTAGTATCACAGGTGTGAGTCCCAGTCTGTTGACCTTTGTCAAAGTCCACTAGTGCCACAAATATCCAAAGAAGAGTCTGGGACAGAGGTGGATAAACCCCAGGAAGTAAAAACCCTTGTTTTCCTTCTCCCTATTCCTTTGTTGTGGAGCTTGAAATGCAAATGCTTGTGACTGATTCCTGTAGAGGCTTTTTACTTCCTTGACCTGGACTATCCACCTCTGGTCTGACATGTAAAAACACATCTAACGCTGCTGTTGACGTCTTGTAGGTGATTGAAGCTCTTTGAGCAGTTCATGATATTCTGGTGAATTCCTGGAGTAAAGATTTGCCTTGGTCCATTGATGAAGATCATCTCTGGTCTTCTGATCAATGACTCCCATCTCGCAGTATTTATCCAACAGCAGTTTCTCCCCGATGGCATGATATCTCCTGGTTGCCTCTTTGGATATGAAGTCAACTCCTTTCTTTTGCTGAATTCCTGTGCAGACACCAAACATTAGCAGACTAATAGAAAATGATTTCAATATTTTTGACCGATAATGAAACATTTTGCTCCTGCTTTCTGTTTCTTTTAACTCTTGGACTTCTCTGCTGTGTACCTGCATCCCTCCTGAGAGACTGGGACATCTCTGGGTTGGCCACTATCATGGACATCTTCATCAGTTTATCAGCGTCACCAGAAAGCAGGACTTCTGTGAGCTTTTCCCTGCAACAAAGGAGAAATGAAGTCAGCAGAGAGCTGAGATCAGCTGATAGCTGACCTGACCTCCTCACCTGACTATCTGGGACCCTTTGCTGTTGCCAGTGGTTAGGGCCTGATGGTGATGCTCTGTAAGAACCTCTCTGCAGAGCCCACCATTACCATTCCTTTTAATCATGGCATAAAGTTTGAGGTTCTTTGATTCAATGCTCTTCTTTAGGTCTTGGTTCTCTGGTTTCTGGAGCATCTCATGAGCCATCTGGAAGGTATTTTTAGGAGGGATGTGATCTGCATTCACTGGAGAAGTGTTATTGTTGTTATTCGCTGCGATGTTCGATCTGTTCGTCTTCCGTAGACCTTTGATACTGGAACAAACAAGAAGCATTAATCAGAGAGGATGATGTCCGTGACGGAGGGCTACTGTTGTTGGACAGGGTGAACTCACTCATCAAAGCTTCCAACCAGACCAAGGTTGTAGGTTTTTATGACAGAGATGTCCTCTTCTGGTATGTCCTCCATCCCGGTTGTGTTCATTTTGTCCCTGAACTTTTCTCTGCTTGCTTGTTGCGTCTTTCTCCCTCCTCCGCTGATCTTGTATTTCCCTGGTGATGTGTGCGTTTCTTCATACCCTCTCTGCAGGTTCAGAGCTGCGGCATAGCTGTGTGTGTCATGCAGGAGCTGAATAAAGACGGCAGAAAGAATCTACTAACAATCCTTAGGAAACAGATTTAAAACCAGTCGTCCACCTGCAGGCAGACACTACACATTCCTGCCGACCAACAAAAACAAAAAAACAACCTGCGGCACATTTTATAGACAGCTTCAGCTGCAGCTGCACATTACTGGATGTACTGCACACTGCACGTTGTCCTGGATCTACATCTTTGAAATCTACTCTAAGGTTGGCTGTTAAGTATTTCTCATTTTCGTCCATCAGATTTTGAGCCAAATTTCATTATGGTGACATAATGATAAACACGCTTGATTCTAACTATAATAAATCATAAAATTGGGCCTGTATCTAGGGTATAATACCTGGATTACTGTAGATTTTGAACCCTTTTTGTGTTGCCATATTAGCTCCATTTCTGTTTTGCTGAGACACCTTCAGCTAAGGTCCTAATAGTTTCCTGTTTTCTTTTCATAGGTCATAAGTGACTTTTTGGGATGGGTGGACGTTGCTGGAAGTCTTGACTTCTTTTGTTGTGCTCAATGTTTGAAAATACTCACAGATTCCTTTACTTTGTTTCGAAGGTTCGCTGCCTCTTGTCTCAGATCACCTGGATTGTCACTCGTTGCCTGAACCACGGCGTGATACAAGCAGTTCTGACCTGCTGAGTTCACTGGGACCACAGAACCATCTGGCCTCAGAATTTCAAAATGGCCCCCATAGGGCCGTGTTTCACCAGCGAGCCGTTTCATGAGCCCCCTTAAGATGCATCAAAGACAAACAAATAAAACATTAGAAACACATAAAACTCAACTGAGGTGTCTGCACTCCTTCAGCCTAGTATTCCTCTTTTGTGAAAAAAACACTGTAAGTACAGAAATAAATCTGTAAGAATTCTTACTTTCTCTTTTGTTTATATTTGAAATGTCATTGGCAGCACAGTGGATCTTGAAATCAGTTTCATTTTTGCTTTCGCAGTTTTAATGAGAAAGTGGATTTGGGTTCTGTTTGTTTTGGGGGAACAGGAGCCCTTGCGTTCAACCATAAACTCCTTTATACACAAAAGTAGTCTAGTCTACCTGTGAATCAAAAGCCCATCTTAGGCCCCCTCCATATGAATGCCAGGCGCGGATTCAGGCGGGGGCGCGGGGGGCGCGCGCACCCCCCTTTGGGATATGGCAAGCCAATTGGGCCAATAATCGTCCGTACAATAACACGCAGTTCCAACCCGTATTTTACGCGAGCACGCGTTTTTTACGTCACCAAGCGTTTTCAGCCAGAACGCGCGGTGACGTAAAAAACGCGCGCTCGCGTAAAATACGGGTTGGAACTGCGCGTTATTGTACGGACGATTATTGGCCCAATCGGCTTGCCATACTCCAATGCCGTCGTTGCGAGCACGAGGAGACCTGGAAGGCCAAACAAGAAAACCAGACAACCATCTCTTTTTAGATTCTGGTCCAATCCAACAGAAGGGTAAGTAGAAACCAACTTTATCACTTTATTTTCTATAGGCTTATGTCAATAATCTAAATAACACAGATTGAAATGTTTATATCTTGTTTTCTATTCTTCAGTGGACCTGGCACAAATTCAGAAAATGACCACAGCGTTGAACAGTATGAACGTTCAGATATTGGAGACACACAGATAAAAGGTATGATGATTGCTAGAAAATGTAATGATAATGAGAAAAGATTATCAACATTGTTGATTGTTGATAAACAAGTTGTTTAAAGTTGCAAAGTAATGCAATTGTAGGAATACTTTAACCAGTAACGGGAAAGTTATAAAAATTGCAGTGTTTGATAAGTAATAAAAAGAGTGTACAATTAACAAAAATAAGCAACATTAGTTGCCATTGACATGCATACAATAGTTATTTTGTAGTCTGTATTTTTGGGTCTAAACTTGTACCACGTGTTGTACTGTTAAAAATAAGAATGGTATCCTTTATGAAAACATTACTAACTTTTATCAATTGGTAAGGATCCAAATCAATGAATGCTCTAAGCGCACGCTTGGAGTCTAAGGGAGTCTTGTTAACATTGTGATATGATAACTACAAATCTGGTGTTATTTGTTTTCAGTGAATTTAATATTTTACAATAAAAATACAATTTACTTTTAAGGAAATTCAATTTTGTGCACCTGGTGATATGTGTTCAGTGAATTTAATAATTTACGATAAAAACACAACATTAAATTGTTTTGTGGCTCCTCCTGAGATTACAAGGTTCACCTGATCAATTATTTTCTTTTCCAGATGAACAACAAGGACCGTGTTTCGATGTAAAGACAACTGAAGAGGCTGCGCTCAACCAAGGCGATTTGCCCCAAACAACTTATGACATAGGTTAGTAATAGTTGTATTTTTTTCAATGTCAAAACAACTAATTTTCTTTTTGTTTTACACGATTGACTTTTTTGCTTAATCTTGAAATCTTACATTTCATAATAATTATTTCATAATAAAGCAAGACTATACAAAAGCTTCATGTAGGCAGATTTACAACTCCACCAGCACCCATGCAAAATTGACAATGTAAATATCAATCTTATTACAGATATATCAAAGGCCAAGGACCGGATTAGTGAAATGGACGACTCGGGAAAATTCCAACTTCTTCAGACCAGAAAACCACCCAAATCTTTCAATTTCGCTGCCAGAGAATTTAAAGACAACCGAAGAGCCAGTGGGGTGACCAAAAGAACATGCCAGAGGGACTGGCTGGACAAGTATGACTTTTTATCGTTTTTACATCATATAAAGATGATCTACCGTCAGGATCAACATTCAGGCAGGAAGTGTAGTTGTGGCACACAAAGTGGTCATCATCAGTGGAAAAACCCAGCTCTCTCCCTGAAATTCTAAAGATAACAAATATGAAGTGCTACCCAAACATTTATATGATTCTTCACCTTCTGTCAGTCATATTTGTTACCAGTGCTTCTGTGGAAAGTGCTAACTCGGGTCTTAAAGCAGTGAAAACTTTGCTGAGGTAGACAATGGGACAGGAAAGGTTTGTGGCTTTGCTACTTTTGTATGTGCACAAAGACATTCAGTTAGACATCAACAAAATCATCGACATATTTGCCCAGAAGGTTGACATTTGTAAACCCATTATCATCATCATAAAGTTTGTAGTAGAGAACAATATTCTTTGTGTGGTTTAACTTTGTTTTTTTTTTTTGTTTTTCAACAGTGTATCTTGTTAAAATATATTCAAAACTCCTTTGTCTTACTTGAACCCAAGTCCTTGGGGGTTTTTTTTATTTCATGTTCTGTGTAAATATCATTTCTGGAAATAAAGAAACTCCTTGTTTGATTAATTGTTGATAAGGATTTTTTTTTCTTCAAACTACCTTTTAACCTTGTGCATGCTTTAAAACCGAGAGATCCTTTTTTAATTACAATAATGTAATCATGCTAATTCTACTTATGTTCATCCATTAAAATGATCAATTAAAAACCCTTGGATGAATAATTAGGGTAGTGTGAAAGAGTGAATATGGTATTCTTTGGTCTTTTAGCCTCACATTGTCTTGACCTGTGACCCCGTGACCCTTGACCCCGTGACCCGATGACCCCTAGGTGCGCACCCCCCTTTGAAAAATCCTGGATCCGCCCCTGAATGCCGCTGTTTTCCTAGGCTGTATCCAAAGAGATAAGCTGGGACACCATAAACAGACCCTTTTGAAACTGGCTCAGACTGGAAATATGTCTTAATGTTTTGTTGTGGACATTTGAGCCATGGCTTTGTTCTAACGATGACTTTGAAGCTCCCACTCACATCATAAACTAATTTTTGCCACCATGTTGGTGTGTTAAACTTGGCTGAGCCATCGGAGAGTTATTTTTGTCTCGATGCGATTCTAGGGTAGAGTAACAGCATCGTTAACGGGTCGACATATACACTTCAGCATCTAGAGCAGTGGCAATTAGGGGTATGTGTACTCCTAGTGGTCCGCGAGTGCATTGCAAGGGGTACATTAAAATATTCTTATTTCTTAGGTAGTAAAATAAAATACATAATATTTTCTTTGTGAGGACCCAATTGAAAAATTAAACAAGCTTTTATCAACCAAAAAGTTACGTTTTCTTATATAGTTGAGTTCACCCTCAGCTGAGAAACACATCCAAACCAAGCAGAGGAACAGACTGGATGTAGAGAACAACTTGGTATCAGCTGTTTTTCACACTGAGCTACTGAAGCTCATTAATGCAGCTCAGGTTTTGCTCTGTATTATGTTTTTAATTCATCAAGTTTAAATGTGATTATAAGGGAATTACTTAGAGGAGCTCTAGTTTTATAAATAAATGTTTATAATAGGATTTTATTTTTTATTTATTTCAAATCCTTACTAAATTCCAGGCAACATATTAATGTTGCTTTTTTATTTGAGATGAAAAGCACAAAATGCCTAAGAATTAAATGCTCAAATTAAAATATTATGTAAAATAGTTTTCATCTTATAATCAGTTATTGTACTTTCCACTTTTGGACAGTCATCAGTACTTTTGACTGAGAAGGGGACTCATGGTAAGACCAATGACCAAAGGGGTACACAAGTCAAAAAAGGTTGGGAAACACTGCTCTCACGTGTTGCTTTGTGCACTTGTGTAGAGGCAAAGTTTCTTTAACACCATTTATGAAAACAGGCCTTGTTAGTCTTTGTGGCTTTAGTTTATCCACTCACTGTCCATGTAAAGTCATGTCATTGCTGAACACATTGCATAGTTTGAGGTCATTTTGGATTTTATTTGAATATCCTGATACATAAAACCAAAAAACTGAGGGCATTCTTTACGGTTTAGATGGGGGGATTGCTGGAAAGTCAATGGGGTAATTTTTTTCTGAACTAATGGGATAGAAGCAAACTTAGAATCAAATTTATTGACACTTCTGGGCAATTACAGTAAAATGCTTTATTCACTGAATATGTTTAAAGTTGTCAACCATTACTTACTGTTTTGTTGTTTCTGGATCTTTCTTCAGTTGGAGGACAATGTCTTCTGCAGAACTGTCTTTTCCTGGAAAATAATCCTCTGAGAGCTTCTTCTTATCTGCATCCACAACTATCACCCTGATGCCTCTGCCTTTGATTTTCGCATTCAGAGCATCACTCTGAGTGAGGACATGGATGTCCAAAGATGAAGCAGGATGATCCACATCACAAATATCCTCAATATAACAGTGAAGATCCTGTTTTTCCTCCTCTGATAGAGATGCACATGGGCTTTGGAAGACCTTTCTCATTTGGTGTTTATGCAGCTGATTGTCAAAGAAACTTTCGGTGTGAGCCCTACCAAGTAAGTTGCCAACAGCAGTACCAGCTGCACTGTTTATTTTGGTCATGCCAGCTCTGGTTATGATGGAGGTCATGTGTCGTGAGCAAGCTTCAACAAATGAATCTGAGACACTTTTAGCCATAATCTGGAGCATGTCTGTCTTAAGTCGCTTCACATCAGATAATGTGTGTCTCCCATCCTTATCATACTTCTCCTGTGGCAGCTGATCCATGCTTTTCAACAACTTGGGCACAAATGTTTTATCAATGATCTCTTTTGTAGGAACTGACTGCAATATTTCCACACAAAGTTTGATATACTGAGCTGATTCCAAAGCCTTCATCAACAATTTCATCTCTTTCTGCTTCTCCATGCGACGCGTTATAGAACCACAGACATCTGAAAGTGTATCAAGAACTTTGCTGAGCTGGGTACAGTCCATCATCAGGCAAGGGATTATGTCTCGTGTCATAATGTCCACTGACAGACGCATTTCATTCTCACATTGCATATCTATTTTGAAGTCAGTGAATCCCTCCTTAATGGCAGTTTTTGGTACTGCTGAACAAATGAAGTTTGTTAGAGCAGAATCTAGTCGGCCATTAGATTTAATCATCGCATGGACTTTGTCCCTGAAAGCCTCATTCAGGATCTTTTCAAGTAACGCTGTAAGTCCACTGTTAACAGCATAGCTGAGAGCAGCGACACAACCCTGCTTGCCAAGTTCCTGAAAAGCATATTTCCCTGCATGCTTAAAGCACTCTTTCACTGTAACCACAGAGCTACATTTAGCCCCAGTCATCAGACCTTTAGCCCCACTTTTCACAGCACTTGCAGCTCTGCTCAGTTTGCTCAATCCACCAAAGACAAGAGACACTCCAATGCTGATAGCTTTGGCAATTGCCCACTCTGCCCAGTCAAAGCCTCCTTGTAGCATCCCCTTTATTCCATGAATCATGTCGGAAACACCTTCACTGATTAGTCCAAATCCAAACTGACTGGCACTCCCATAAGACAGAGTGCAAACAAGAACCCCTAATGCTACTTGGAGAACTCCAAGACAGAAACAGGCAAAGGCATCGATTGAAAACTCTGGCTTCTTTTTAACCTCAAAAACGATGCAGAGGCCAAATTCATGAAGTACCATTAATTCATTAGTGGTAATGGGGTCTTTGTCTTTGGAAAGACTGTAAACACTGGAGTCCTCTAAAACTGGCTCTCCTTTACTTTGTTCAATGTGCTGGAGGGTGTTCAGGGCATTTTCAATGTATCCTTTCCAACATTTAAAGACATTCATCCTGGCTTTCATTTGGGTCTGCAGGTTACTATCTTTGTGGTGGGGTAAAAAGTCATTAGTGACTGCAAGACTGCAAAACATCATTGTGTTTGTTGATTCTGAGAGGTACACATCTACAGCAGTCTTTGCTTTTTCTAACAACTGCTTTGCTTCAACTTTGTAGCCACTCCTTTGCAGGTTGACTGTGATGTATGCCTGGTTGTAAAATGCAACAGCACCATAGAAAGGATCACATTGCTCAGCACTCTGCCAGTAACATAATGCTCCAAAGTCACTTTCCTTTCTGTTGCTGCGGTGAAGGTAAGTTCTACTTTTTGCCAATTTGATATAATCATAGAAGTTTTTGCTTCTCCCCTTTAAGATTTGATCAGCAATTGTCTCTAGATCTGTGATCAAGCTTTGTTTCATGAGATTGATATCCTCATGCTTCCTGAGTTTCTCTTCATGGAGGATGAGCCACAGGCCCCATGATTCTTTCAAAACATTAATTGCCGTCTCATAATCAAACTTTTGACGATGGCTCTTAAAACACTCAGGAAGATCTTTCATCTTCAGCTTTGAGATGTCCATTCTCTCCTCCTCTGTGTAGTTGTTATCAAAGGCAGAGAGAAATTCAAGAAATGTGGAAAAAAGATTTTCCTTCATTTCAATTTGAAACAGTTCATTTTCCTCCATACCGCCTAAACGTCTTTCTTCGTATTTCTCTCTGAGTCGTCTCATGGTTTCCACTGAATGGCCTTGGTATGCTGGTGCAAGAAGATCCTGGTGGAGAATCATCTGCGCCATCCCGGGGTTTCCTTTGCGGGCAGTGCGTCCAAATACTTGTCTCTCCACACGATAACTTCCGGAGAAGTATGTGAGAAGCACAAACAGACCTCCGCACTCATTGACTTCTCGGTGAACAAGTATGTCGGTCCCTCGACCTCCAAGATTTGTAGCAATAATGATGTGTCCCTTTCTGAAGGTTTCATTTTCAATGTTGTGCTTGGTACTTAATGTATACATGGTGATCTTAGCAGGTTGTCGTTCTTTAACATCTACTCTACTCCTTAGCTCCTCGGCAGTCTTGACATCCTCACAGATAATCAAAACAACTTGGCCTCGGTCTGCAGCTTGCCATGTCCTTTCACAGATCACCTGGATCCACTCAGTTTTTCCTCCACTCACCTGAACTGCTGGCAGTTCTATACGCTTTTTATGACGGTGAGGTGGAACGATGTAACTGGCAGTGTTGTACTGTCGTTTTAGAAAAGCTTTCTCAGCTTCACCTCCTAACGTCCCAGAGACTCCAAATATGCCATTGTCAGTGAGGTACTTTTTAAAGAAGTGGACATTTGACATGTAGTTTGTTACATTGGTCAGTTGTGAAACTGCCAGTTGGTGTTTCATCTCCAAAAACTGTTGCAGACCTTCACCCCAGCGCTTATTTTTCTCCAGTACCCCGCTGGCCTGGAAGTCCACTGGAATTATGGCATCATAATGATGAGTGTTTTCATAGCAGAAACCGGGTCTGTCTGCTTCAGGTGCCTTCTCAATCATGTACTCTCTTCCTGGTGCCATTTGAATGGCTCTTAAGGCATTCTCTACAAAAATCGGCAATTGATTTTCAACATATTCTTTTAAGAAAGATGGTATAACAATACATCCTTGAGTTTTCTCCACTGAGTTTAAGGAACACTCACTGGAATACTTAAGTCTAGAGTTCAGTTCTTTAACTGTCGATTCCATAAGGGATTTCTCAGACATGATCTCACAGGCACATCCTTTCTGAAGAAGAAGCATTTGGACATCGGGTTCTCTGGAAGAATTTTCCTTACAGTACAGCTTTGCTTTGTTGTTTACAAGTGAGTAACAATCTACTGTCACACCATCGAGCACTGCTGTCTCAAGCTCCGTGAACAGCTTATACTGCTCTCGATGTCCCAGCTTGGCCATAAATTGTCCAATAACTTCTCTCTTGGCATCTTCAAGGCTTTCATCATCTGTCTGAGTTTGATTCATTGCTTTAATTATTTCATTGAAATCCTCATTTGAATAAAGGCCTAGCTGCACACCCAGTAAGAGTATGTCAGTTTCTGAAAAGTCTGATTCTAAACCAACCACAGCCTGCTTGGCCACCTTGTGACAGTACTGGATCCTTGTTCCCCATTGGATCTCACCTGTTTCAAATATTTCTATTGGACGGCAGGCAGACATTATGGCCCAGATGCTTGCAAGAACTTGTTCCAGATGCCTCAGTCCATTGGCTTGATGTGACAAGAAGGTTACCTGGACTCCACTGTCCAGCGTCATATAGTCAACTTCATCCACAATCACACAATCAAACTTCCTCAGTCCTCGGGTCTTTTTCTTATCAAACTCTTGCCTCAGTACATCTGCAGCAAAGGTACAAACAGTACCATAAACTATTTGCATGGAATATGCTTCCTGAAGTAGCTTGTCATGATCTTCAAATGAACTTTTAGCATGATGCTGTGGAGGAACAGTAGATGAGGTGACACCAAATACCTCATAGAGTTTCTTCCACTCATGTTGATCACGTATTGCAAGCAAAGGGGAACTTGTCACAATATCTACTGCTGTACCTCGTATAGCCTGGATTGTGGCAAACATGGCTAGAATGCAGGTCTTACCTTCGCCTGTTCCAATTTCCAGGAGGCATCCACTTTTATCCTTGGACTGTGGTAGCAGCAGTAGCAGTAGCGATGCAAGCTGAGTCAGCCTGGGGAAGTAACCCTGAACTTCCTCTCCACTTACACTGATGAAGTTTGTGCACTTCTTCACAGCTATGGACATGACTACGAGGATGGTCTTTAACATATCGTAGTTGGGGTTTTCAAAATCTATTGAAGCTATCCAATTTTTACAGTCTTCAATCAAGTCGGACTCCAGTTCCACTCCTTTACATCTGGGCAACACTTCTCCAACATATTGAAGAATATCTTCTAGTTGTGAGAGAAGATGCTCTGGGTATTTATTTTCTTTCATTTCACTCAAGATACTCTCAAGGTCCTTGTCCATCTCAAAGGATATACAGTCTTGTAAATATGTTAGAGGATCTTTGTGCTTTAGTGATTTGAGAGCCTGTATGCAGCTTAGACTAAAGGTGCATATCATCTGCAGTATTTTTGAGACTTTGTCCTGATCCATGCTTCTTGTCCGTCCAATAAAGAGTTTAATTTCTTTCGAAGTCCAAATGTTGTTAAAAAGAATTTGACTGAGAAATTCCTTGCTTTGCTTTGGCAGCACTGAGGTCATTTCAAGAGTGTTAACTAAAACCTGTCTAGCGAGAGTTGGGTTAGAAATCTGCAATTGATCTTCCAAACAGAGAAGAAATTTGATTTTTCTGTCTTGTCCAGTTATTGGCTCAGGCTCAAGGTCAGGGATGCCCTCTAGAGTAACCTTGACCACTGCCTCCAAGACACTAAACCGCTCAGTCAGGGAAAGGTGTACATATCCAGTGGCCTGATCCAAAGCCCACTGTGACCAGATGGGTATATTGTGCTCCGTTAGGTAGTTTGATAGTAGCTCATTTTGGAGAGACTTCATTCTGTCCTCAAGGCTAATGTTTGTTTTTTCACTCTCTGTGATTTGGTAGCTTGATAGAAGTTTTTCAAATCTTTGCTGCACATCTCCAAACTGCATGAAAGATTATTAGCATAATGTAAATGTCAAACTTAAAATTTCAAATTTTACAGAACAAATCCATAACCTCTGTCGTGGGTAGATGTTAAATATCCGTTTGCCTTTAAAAAAGTAAATAAATAAATATTCCAACAATTGGGTAAAGGCATATATTTATGGAGCTAAATTGGTCTCATTTTTCACAAATACACATATGTGATTCATACATGAACTGGACAACATCCATACACACACAGCACGATTCACGCAAGCACAAAAAAATCCACACACAGCACGATTCACGCAAGCACACAGAAATTCACGCAAACACTGTAAAAGATTCACACACAGCACCATTCATGCAAGCACAAACAAATTCACACACACACAGTACAAGGTCCACACACACTCAGCACCATTCATGCAAGCATGCAAGACTTACTCATGCACAGCACATGATTTACCAAAGTATTTCTGGTCCATATGCAATTATATATTCAATTACAAAGTACCAGTGGTCTTTAAACTTCACTGCATTTGTGTGGATTTTTGAGACTCTCCCGACGTTTTTTTAAACAGGGATGTTTTGCAACCAATCACAGAGCTCCCTTGTATAAGTCAAGTTTTTTTCAGAGTTTGTGCATAAAAAAAAAAAAAAAACAATTCACTAGGTTTGTTACACACATTAGGTTTAAAAACAATTATAGGGAGAGGATTCTACAGTTGACAGGATATGAGATTTATTTGTTTTTAGTTTATTTAATATAAGCGACATGCCGATCATTTATTTATTTTTACAACACATGAAGAACTACTGAAATTATTTTCAGATTACACATAAATATATTAATTAATTCCGCAGGGGGAAGGAATTTTTGTTTTTAAACCTAATGTGTGTAGCAAACCTAGTGATTGATTTTTTTTTGTTTATTGATGCACAAACTCTAACAAAAACCTGACTAAATCACGAAATAAAACAGTGTGATTGGATGTAAGGAGTGCAGAGACAGGGGAAATTCTATGTAATACGTATTACTAAGATTATGCTGCCCTGTATATTGACAGAACACCGGGCTGGAGTGGAGCAACTAATCATCACACCTGGATTACTTTCTTGTGATTGGCTTATACAATGGAGCACTGTCATTGGTTGCAAACCATTCCCTGTTTAAAAAAATGCATTTGTGTATTGATGCACGTCAGGAGAGTATGGGAGAATTATCCTGCCATAATGCAAGAGCACATAATTTCAATTTGAGAAAAGAATTTCATCTTCTTGTCCTCAAAACTTATAATGCTCACACTCAAAACATGCGCTCTCTCTCAAATATTTTCTCTTCTCTCTTATTTCTTCTCTCAGATTTAATGCTTCTTGCACAGATATTTTCTGCTCTCGCTTGCCTCCTTCTCTTTGCGCACAAACCGCGCTCTGCCCGAGTCTCAGATACGCTCGCAAAACCGCTGGAAAGGTTGCTAGACGACGATCCAACTGCAATCCGAGAGAGAGCAAAAAAATCCGCAAGCAGAGCCTACGGGTTTGCGAGCGTATCTGAGACTCGAGCAGAGTGCGGTTTGTGCGCGAAGAGAAGGAGGCAAGCGAGAGGAGAAAATATTTGTGCAAGAAGCATTAAATCTGAGAGAAGAAACAACGATTTGAGAGAGAAGAGAAAATATTTGAGAGAGAGCGCATGTTTTCAGTGTGAGCATTATAAGTTTTGAGTGCAAGAAGATGAAATTCTTTTCTCAAATTGAAATTATGTGGTCTTGTATTATGGCAGGATAATTCTCCCATAGTAGAGTCTCAAAAACCCACTCACAAATGAGGTGAAGTTTAAAGACCAATGATCCTTTTTTATGGATCAGAAATATTTTAGGAAATCATGATCTGATCATTGTAATGTCCTGTGAGGCTGGACTATCTGCAAGGGCATGTCAAGATGGGGAAAACTGATCTTAAAACAGACTTTGCTTACACCCACTGTCAAATTCTGCTAGAATTAATCCGATTTAATGTTATATCATGTGGATAAACCCAAAAAAACAAAGCGGAACTTTACCTCATCCATCTCAATGTGAGCTGTATGGTCATCCAACAGCTGGTGCAGAACTTCAGTCTGATGTTGTTGCTGTACTTGTTCTTTCACTTGCTGGTCTTCCTGAAGTCTTTCAGTAGCTTTTTTGATTTTCTGCTTGGAGGCTTTATTCTCCAAATCAATCAGCTCTTGTATTCTTCTGGTTTGCTCAAGCTCTGCCTGGCGTCTTCTCTCCTCTTGCCTTTTCTTCTGCAGTTCTCTTTGCAAATTCTTTCTTTGTCTTTCCAATTCTCGTTCAAGTTCTCGTTGTTCTCGCAATTCTCGTTCTTGTCTCTTACGTTCTTGTCGTTCTCGTTCTAGTCTCTCCTGTTCTCGCCATTCTCGTTCTTGTCTCTTACGTTCTTGTCGTTCTCGTTCTAGTCTCTCCTGTTCTCTCCATTCTCGTTCTTGTCTCTTACGTTCCCGCCGTTCTTGTTCTAGTCTCTCCTGTTCTCTCCATTCTCGTTCTTGTCTCTTACGTTCTCGCCGTTCTCGTTCTAGTCTCTCCTGTTCTCGCCATTCTCGTTCTTGTCTCTCACGTTCTCGTCGTTCTCGTTCTAGTCTCTCCTGTTCTCTCCATTCTTGTTCTTGTCTCTCACGTTGTTGTTTCTCCCATTCTCGTACCTGTTCTTGTCTTCTTTTTGCCTCTTCCTGTAGCTTTCTCTCCAGCTCTGCCTGGCGCTTCTCCTCCTCTTCCTTCTTCCTGAGCTGGTCTTCTCGTTTCTGTCTTTCGCGTTCTTCTCTCTCTCGTTTCTCTTCTGCAATTCTTGCTGTGAAGAGTTTAAGAAAAAGATTCTTGAGTTATTTCACTCCATATTTATTCTAAACACGTCCATGCAGCACAATCTATATATAATATAAATATAAATATCTTAGCTAGTGGTGGGCCATGGTCACTGTTAATCTATTCTCAAAGTTGGGTTGGGAGCTGGGTCTGTACTAATGATGCCTTTGCTTTGATATTGTAGCATGTTTGCCAGCAGGAAAGTAACTCACGCTGAAACTAAGGTCCAGTCGCAAAGCTCTTTATTTATGCAACACAAAAAAACAGAAAATGCTTCTTCCTTTATATGCAACTGGTGAAACATTCTTCCGATGGTGCCAATGTTAACACAACAGACTACCAACATAAAAAAAACCCTCTTTAGCACAAAACCAAAACAAACTAAGCTAACTTTTTTGGCTTTGGATTTAGTCTTATTGAGTTTTATGTTTTTCTTTTATGTTAACATTATAGTGCATAAACAAAAGAAAAAAACAACAAAAAATGCAGATAAACATGGTTTAATCCTATTTTGCCGGACTACTCTGAATATGTCAGATGATGACGTCACACAAGCATTTTAACAGAGAAAATGTAAAAAGCATCAAAATTGTCTCAGAAAAAGTCATAAACATACATTCTTAAAGGTGTGTGTTAGCATTCTTTAGTGAGTTAAGGATAGAAATAAGTAATTTTAGTACCATAATTCCATTATTTATTGAAAACCGGATGTGTATCTGGTTGCGCATACTCAAAAGAGCCGATGGTACGGATCGTACTTCCGGGACGGATCAACTAGTGACCACCACTTATGCTACGTTCAAACCGCAGGCACTAGAGAAAGCAGAAGCAACTAGTTTACATGCAAAGCTAATGGCTGAGGCGAATCAAGGCGCAGCAAAGGTCCAGCGCAATTAAGCAGTTGAAGCAATGCGTCATTAGCTTCTGAGCATCTGACTCGCTGTGAAAGCAGTAGCTGCTGGAGTTGGAAAAATTGAACTTTTGCTGCTCAGCACGCAACCAATCAGAGAAGCTGATCTGGCAGGGAGAGAGACACAGCACTGCTGATGCAGATTGCTATGATAACTCATCTAAAACTGTTTATTAACGCCTTAATTAACTTAAAATTTCGAAACCTGTCGGCAAAATTTGTTGGCTTTTATTATTGTGATGCCTGCAGTTTGGATTATGAACGTGAAAAATAACAGTAGTTAGAACAGTAGTGGAAAACTGTGAAGAGGCAACCGGGCCAGTGGCTGCCGTTGAATGGGATTTCCAGTGGCAGAACACCAGCGGTCTGAGCGGTTCTGAAAGCAAAATGATATTTGAAGGCAGGATCATAATCTGGATGAACTGACTGCACAGATGAAGTTTCAGGTGGACTTTCTCACTTAAAAAAATTAAAACTACTTTATACCCACTTATAACAGCAAATATAGCAAAGTCGCTCCCTACCAATGAACACAGGAGCAGCAGAAGCATCTCATGCATGTAGATACACTTTACTGAATGCGCCCTGGGAGCATCAAAGTCACTCTTGACGCACATCTGACCTTAACTTGCACAAGCATTAAAAATGAAGCAACATAAGCTTTTTTGTTGCTTCCAGTACTTGTGGTCTGAACATAGCAAAAGTGTGCATATCCAACAGATAAAAGCAACATGGGTCATTTGTTGACCTCTGACCCTACATGGGCCCAATCCACTCAATCCACACAAAACTTGAATTTGCTGCATTTTCTGCTTCAGTTTCTAGAAATCCATCCATCCATCCATCCATCCATCCATCATCCTTCCATTCATCCATCCATCCATCCATCCATCATCCTTCCATTCATCCATCCATCCATCCATCCATCATCCTTCCATTCATCCATCCATCCATCCATCCATCCATCATCCTTCCATTCATCCATCATCATCCTTTTAATCCATCCATCCATCCATCCATCCATCATGCATCCATCCATCCATCATCCTTCCATTTATCAATCCATCTATATATCCTTCTTCCTTCCTTCCATCCATCCATCCATCCATCCATCCATCCATCCATCTTTCTTCCATCCATCCATCCATCCATCATCCATCCATCCGTGCATCCATCCGTCATCCATCCGTCATCCATCCATCCATCCATCCTTCCGTTTATCAATCCATCTTTCTTCCATCCATCCATCCATCATCCATCCATCCGTGCATCCATCCATCCATCCATCCATCCTTCCGTTTATCAATCCATCTATCCATCCCTCTTTCTTACATCCATCCATCCATCCATCCATCCATCCATCCATCCATCTTTCTTCCATCCATCCATCCATCTTCCATCCATCCGTGCATCCATCCATCCATCCATCCATCCATCCATCCTTCCGTTTATCAATCCATCTATCCATCCCTCTTTCTTCCATCCATCCATCCATCCATCCATCCATCCATCCATCCATCCATCCTTCCGTTTATCAATCCATCTATCCATCCCTCTACCTTCCATCCATCCATCCATCCATCCATCCATCCATCCATCCATCCATCCATCCATCCATCCATCTTTCTTCCATCCATCCATCCATCATCCATCCATCCGTGCATCCTTCCGTCATCCATCCATCCATCCATCCATCCATTATCCATCTATCATCCATCCATCCATCCATCCATCCATCCATCCATTTATTCATCCATCTATCCATCCCTCTTCCTTCCATCCATCATCCATCCATTCATTCATCGGTCCGTCCATCCATCCATCCATCCCTCGTGGCGTGATATTTTTAGATAGTTAGAGGAAGCATCTGGAGGGAACCAAGGCATTTGATTGTAGAAGACAGGAAAACAACAAAACAGACAACCCAAAACAAATCCATCATTTCTGTTCACTCTGGGCCGGTTCTAGCCCTTTGGTTGCCCTAGGCGAGATTGAGTTTTGCGCCCCCCCCTCCTCACTTTTGCCATGCGAAATACCAGCACTGTTTTCAGCATCTGTTTAGTGCTTCATTGAGTTGTGTTTACAGTTCCACAAAGAGTGCTGTGCGGTGAATTGTGCCTACAGTTGTGCAAAGTGTGTGTTACAAAATTGCAAATTGAGTGCAAAGCAGTGTTTGTTCTTTTAGTTTTGTGAACTCAGTGAGTGGATTTGCTATAAGTATTAATAGTTTTAGAAATTGTGCTATAAGAATCAAGGTTGTGTTTAAGCATTCAGAAAAAAACTGTAACTTAGCATGGAGTGATGCATAGACAAATACCAGAATAGGTTTCAGTACCTTTTCTTTTTTATTATTTTAAATAATTTATTACACACTCAAAGTTAGGACTGTGCAAAAACACTTTTAACCATCTGTAAGGACACTTAGGTAAAGTATAACTAAAAAACTGGATTGAATCAATGAATTAATTTATTTCAGACAATTAACAAATTTAACACACATTAAACAAATATTAAATAAATCAATTTCAGAAATTACCAAATAACAATAAAAAATAATAAATTTAAGAAATTCTTCAACCAAGGACTACATAAAAAAGTAATTGATAAACATTAAATTAAATTTTCTGTTCCAGTTCAATTAAATCATTTGAACATAAATAGAAATGAGATAAACAAAATTTTCCTCTAAATAAAATATATCAGGTATATTTACCCTGATTTCTGACATTGATTAGTGATTAAAGAAAGGATTAACCCTCTACAAACAAAAGGGCTTTTATGAATACCATTACAAAATTAAAAGTTTGAAGTTCTTGTAGTTCTATCTATCAGTTGTTTCAGGTATTTCTATTCACCTTCAAAATTGATGCAGCATTAAAATTTGACTCGTCTGGACTTCCTAATGGCAAATTCGTTGATGGTATCATCAAATGAGATTTTATTTGAGACCTCTTGGTTGATGCTCATCAGTGCAAGCCCATTTTGATGATTATTTGATGATTATAAATCAAACGCGCATCTACACAGCACAGCGTTCACAGACCAGTGAGATGCATAAACAAACAAAAAAAAATACAATACAGTTCAGTTAAATACAGTTCTGTTTTATGCCTCATTCTTGTAAGTTTAAAATGTTCCAATGCTCCTGAATGCACCATAGCTTTCTGACGCGCAGCGAACGCATCTCACTGGTCTGTGAACGCTGTGCTGTGTAGATGCGCGTTTGATTTTCCACTTAAGAGAAACCTTTGCAAACTCCAAACTCACGTCGGCTATCACGGTTTAGTGTTGTGTGTAAATAACAAGAGACCACAACAAATAAATCAGCCGTACCATGGTCAAAATCTTTGGATTTAATGTTGTTCAAAAAATCTGTAATTTTGTAAATTAATCTGCCAAATAACCACAACTTTTTTCCCACGAGAGGTATTTTTAAACGTTTTTACATCATTAATATAAGAACCTAAGCTCCATTGAACATATTTTAATCCGTTTTCCTCGTCGATATGCAGTTCAACAGAGCGAGGCGCGCTCCCGCGACTGGGGATGCATATTTCGGCAGGCATGCACTTTTGGGCATAACACCGGCCGACGTCCAATCTCCACTCATTGTCCGACTCGCTGTTGTTCGTCCGCTGCCTTCTCTTCATCTGAAACATCTGGGTCGAACATGTGAGGCTCCAGACACAAATATTCTTCCTCCGATACATCAGAATGGTCTCCTGGTAGGAATCGCTCGGTTGAAGTCGAAATTTTGCTTTCAGATTTCTCGTTTTGGCTATCGCATTTAGTGCAGTAGATCGCCATGAACGCTCCCGTTCTGACGTCACGACTTCCGGGTTGGAGGGCGCTTGAAAAGTGATCAGAATCTTTTCCGATTTTCTCTTAAATGTGAAAAAATAAATAAAAAAAACTGTGGTATATTTATTTGTTCATATTTTGCTATTTATATATACGTAAGGTTAAGTCAAACTGACGGACGCTTCATAACCGGTTTAATTCGCTTTTTTTTCTAATTCTATGATTAATGGGAAGTAAGCCTAAGGGCGACGCTAGAGGGCGCCCCCAACACATTTGTCGCCCTAGGCAATTGCCTATCTCGCCTATAGCAATCGCCGGCCCTGTGTTCACTCCACTTAGTCAAAAAATAATGAACGAGGATAATTGCACAAACAAAAGCGCCAACACGTTTAGGGAATGCATCAGTAGGACTTACCATAATTGGGACAGCGGTCGACTACCTCATCAGAACTGTTGACCAGTTCAAAGTCCTCCCGATCATCACTCTCTCTTATAGTAAAATCATCAATCCGATTTTCAGACCGGAGGTCCCAGCTGGAGTGGTTTCCATAGCTTAGGTAGATCCCTCTATCCAAGACAGCATCAAACAGTCGGAAGGGGTACTTTAACAAGGAAAATCCTAAAGGCCACGTACCAGTCACTGTACGATTTGCCCCAAGTCTGCTCCCATTCTGAGGAAAAGAGGGGAAGCATTAAGGCAAGGTCTTCCAAGGGTTCACATCTCTGTGTAACATTGAGACACTTACCCCATCTTTTTCATATGAGAAGTACCAGGTGTATGGGGTGTCATTAGTTAGTTTAATGGTGATGCCCATTTTTCAACTGTGGAAAAAGATAGATGAATTTATTAGAAGGAAGAATTAAATGTTCCTCTTTTGAAACTTCTGGCCTCATTTAAGCAAAGCATTTATTTTCTGGAGTTCAGAGTATTGCGCAGCTTTGTTTTTGATTGATTTGTATTAAGATGATAATTCAACAATAATCCAATAATCTGGACTCCAGTTATACATTAACAAAGGGAATTTCAGGGAATCTCTATCAGGCCATGGATCATTAACATCATCCAAAGCCGTCCTGCATCAGCACCTTCAGGAGCAGTTCAGCTCATCTTGTTCTTGGTGTAGTACCAGAATTGTTTACCTAACTACCTGGAACTGGACTAGGTCAGACAAACTCTTGGGTTACATTTACACTGCCGACATTTATCCTCAATTCCAGATTCCTTTGCTTGGTTTTATGTGATCTCCTGTGTGAACTACATTCATACAATTTTAGTGTGGTGCATATGCAGTAGAGGACGCATTGACGTCACAAGCGGGCGTGCTCTGTGTTTATGGATGGTGGTGCTGGAGCGCATCTTGCAATCTTTAGTTTCTTTCCCAGCCTCAGCCAGTGTATTAACAACACAATCTTTTCAAGGAGGTTGAAAATAAAGACTGCTCTCATTGTGTGCTATGGTTGTTGTTTTCTTCCCGCCTCTCCGTAGTCAGTTCAGTCTTATCAAGCCTGACACACCGAAGAGAAATGAACCTGGAATAGAACACTTTCCACACAAAGCTTTCAATCTATCAGAACCCAAACTTGCAGTGGAAAAGTCTGGTTCTTCATGCCAACCCCTGGAGGAAAGAGAAAGAAAACGATGACCCAGATTGTGAGGAGAAGACCTACAGCCAAATTAAGTCCTCTCAGATGATCAATTTCATTATTCTGAACATTAATTTGACATGATTTTGGCGTTTATTGCTGACTTGATTGATCATTTCATTCACTTCCTCTAATTATACTCCTTGGTCCCAGCCATTACTGCCAGAGTATTCTTGAGCCTTTGGTGTAGAGAGTTTTCGAACGTTACTTACAGGATTTTCCTGATCCTGACCTGTTTCTGTATTCGTACTTTTGAACCTCTCTGCCCCTTTTCTGATCTGTTTATCCGGGTCTGATCTCCTGGTATTCCTGCAGACAACTAGACTCCTGCATTTGAAACTCTGGCAGCGTCTGCTGTGTCTTGTCAGCCGACCGACGGGAATCGACCTGGTTCTCTGGGCACGGACTGCACAAACTGTCAAACCAGCTTAGGGAGTCAGCCATTAATAATCCTCCTTTATCCATTATTTCCATTATTGTGGTCACTAACCTGTGTTTCTCTCCTATAGACATTCCTGTGATAGACGCCCTAGCTGCTGCTTCTGCAGACCTGCGTGTTTTAGATAAATGCTTGAAGTTATTCCACTGTCTGTCTTGCCTGAATTTTTGGTCTTCTGTTCTGATTCCTGACATAATCATGTATCAGCATCAAATGTCACACTGGTGAAACAGAACTACACATGAGAACCTGCAAAATAAAAAGGCCTACAAGAGCAGATACCCAGATCAAAGTGAGTCCAACACCCTCACCTCCAGTGATCAACATGGTGACTACTACCACAAATCAAAATCTGAATATAAAGAGGTGTGGGGCGTAAACACTAACTGCTGTAAACATTGACTTCTATCAGTGAGCACCTGGGCAGCTTTGCCTACAATGTAACTTTCCACCATCAGTGTTTGAGTGTGCGTGTGAATGGGTGAATGACTCTAGTTTAATGTGCTTTGGTCAAATCTCCTGACATGAAACATTTTACCAATGGTAATTGGTAAAGACCATTGCCATTTTAATTTAACCTCCATAATGCTGAGGGCTGGATGCTTTGGCTCTGCTGGAAATTGGAGATTCAGCAGGAAACATCTTTTAAGGAATCAACATGGTTTCCTGGCCCATGGTTACTAGTTTAGAAGGATTAGACCACTTTTCACTGATATTATTTCTGTTTGATAGCTTGGTGAGCAGCTTGTTTATATGCAATTTCATTTTTCTAACCGCTGTTTTCTTGGATGTCCTTGTTAAACTAAGTTTTTCTTCTGCTCTTTTCCCTGTAGTTGTCATGGTAACTATGAAGTAACACTGATCAGGTGATTGATTTACATACACAATGGCTGTGTCCGAATGTCCGCCCTGACCACTATATAAGGCACTATATAGTGGTTATGCCATTTTAAATGAGTGTCCAAATGTCTAGTAGACTCGAAATTTCCCACAATGCACCTTGAAAAGATGTGATCATCCATGGTCAATAGATAAGCAGATACATCCCGGAATGCTTCATCGGATTTGTTGTCACAGCGGCCCGCTGTCGCCTGCGGCTGTGTGACAAATAACAAAGATGACACAGGCAGTGTGCGGGGAGGCGGAGTTACGTGACGAACGGGGAGCAAAACATATTGATCATCTGTCAAAACGGTCAGTTAACTGAGTTTACTATAAAGTCCACTACATAATTCCCGCTCTATTTAGTGATTGAGGGATTTAGGGGTTCGGGCGGACACTTGGACAGTTGACTATTTAGACAACTTTTATTGTCATTTTGTATACACAGGTTGTATACACAGAGCTGTATATTTGTATACACAGAGCTGTATACAAAATGAAATTTCGTTTTGTACAGCTTTCAGACATAAAGCTATAAACTATAAAGGTAATTTAAAACAGTACACAACTTTAAGTAGTGATATATACTTAAATCTATATATGTCATTAAGTAGGCTACAAACACTAGAGATGAAAACACTTAAGGATGCAGGATTCACCCACTGAGCTCTATTTACTCACTGGATTGCTGATTGCCCATTGGTAGTAAGGGGTGTAGTGAAGCCACTGGCCACCATTTTGGTACTCCCTATTTAGATCATTCAAATATAAACAATATGTGCACTACAGCATCGAACAACAACAATGTTCTCATTTTCAGGGGCTTAAGAGTTTTAAAATAAAGAAAAAACTTTGACAAACACTTTCTGTTTCATAGCATAAGTAACTTAGAACTTTAACTTATAATAAAAAAAAATAGGCACATCACATTGCATAGTCATTATGAAGTCAAGGAAGGTCTCTAAGTCATGTAATATGACATATTATAGAAATCCATCCCAATAAAATTAATGTGTTAATGGAGCAAAATAATACATATGTGCCAAAAGTGCTTACGTGATGATGTATATGTAATATACATGTATTTATTATATTGTTATAGTAATTACATTTGATAATTTGAAACAGCTTACATAATTTTCATGTGTGTATATACACACACACACACAGAGACATTATCTAGTGATTGAATTACTTTATATTAGTGCTGTCAAAATTATCGCGTTATTATCGCGTTAATGCGAGGCCATTTTAATGGCGATATTTTTTTTAACATGAGATTAACTCTATGTGGTTTTATGGTGCAATTTTCCAAGTACATCCCGCTGCAGCCTGCGGGAAGGCGGGTCTATTTTCCCCCAGTCTATGCATTTTCCATAGGCTTCGAGAGCGGAGCTCCTCAAGGAAAAAAGACGCTCATACACTGGGTGGCGCTAGTGCCTTTTCTTTAAGCCCCACCACCAACAAACAAGTTGAGTGTCTGGTGCAGTATCGCAGTCAGTATTGTGTGTGTGTGTGTGTGTGTGTCTGTGTGTGTGTGTGTGTGTGTTCTCATTTTTGTTAAGAGGCTGAAAAGTAACTTTCTAGAGCATAGACTTCCTCCATCTAGTGATGTCGGTCTATTGATTTTGATGTATTGATGGAAAATTGTTCATTATTACCTTGGTTAATTAACATCTAATGTTAACTCTACTGCATTTTATAGCAGTAGGGTAAAATGCTTGTCTTTGTTCAAAATACTGTATTAACTGTAAAGACTGTCTTTTACATCAGCCTGTTTTCAGGGCCTTTTTTTTTGGCTATTTGTTATTTTTTGCTACATGCCTCCCCATCTTCTTGCCATATGTTTCTATGGCATAAATCAGTATCTGTGACCTGTTTTCATTTTTAAAAAAGAACATTGGCACAAACCTAGCCTGTATGTATTTTTTGTATGTCATCGAGAGTATTTTAATGATTTTCAATCAGAAAAAAAATGTGTGATTAAAATGCGATTAATCGCGAGTTAACTTAGGCATTGATGCGATTAATCGCGATTAAAAACATTTAATCGATTGACAGCACTACTTTATATATATATATATATATATATATATATACATATATATATATACGTATATATATACACATATATATATACGTATATATATATATATATATATATATATATATATATATATATATATATATATACGTATATATGTGTATATATACGTGTATATATATATATATATGTATATATATATACGTATATATATATATATATATATATATATATATATATATATATATATATATATATATATATATATATATATATATATATATATACACATATATATATACGTATATATATATATATATATATATACACATATATATATACGTATATATATATATATATATATACGTATATATACACATATATATATATATATATATATATATGTGTATATATATACGCCATTGTGTCTAAGCATAGAAAATAGAAAGTAGAAAAAATGTTTAAGTTGTTTTTTTCTCTCAAAATAAATTTCAATATATTTTAGCGCATAACTTTGAGAAAATGCCAAATATCAAACACTGCAAATGCAAGAGCGTCATCCACTTAATAAAGAATTACTAAATTTGCATTTCACCGTGAATTAGTTTATATTTACTCTACTTTCTATTTTCTATGCTTAGACACAATGGCGAACTCAGTCAATGTCTGAAATAGCCAGACTGATGTTACACTACACACTCTACTATAGGACACATTGGCATATATATGTATTTTCTTGGTTAGTACATCCACTGACTGTAAAGTTACCTGTGAAACATCTTCCCAGAGCCAGCAAACTGCTTGTTTTTGCTACACACATAGGCATTTTTACTGCGTGTCTTGGTGGGAGTGGGGAGTACCATCATGGCGGGCGGGGGTTTCACTTTTTTTGTGGCAATCAGCAATCCAGTGAATAAGTAGAGATCAGTGGATTCACCACCAAGAATCATGTCACCGCACTCCACCATGTTGAAAGGTCAAAGTTTACCTCATCCTGGCAACTCGTAGCTTTCCAATTGAAATTACGACATGAGTTGGTATTCATGTGCAATTTTAATGTCGGCCTTTGGTATTTACCATAATTATTAGACAACATGAAATGCAGTTCTTCGTGTGTGTGGGAGTTTCTGTTAGTTGGTGCTGATTTAATAAAGCCAAACAACAGCAGGTGAGTTTTGGTTTCTTCCCTGTAATGAGTGGTAAGGAGCAGCTAAGCTAACTTTGGTAAACAGGCCAACAAGGGTCTCCAGTTTACTCAGTATAATTGCTTTTAATGGCTCACTAATCTATCTCTATTATTTCTCAAGTGTTATATATTTATGTTATTTATACATTTCTTTTTGTATTTGTAATTAACAGGAATGATCCTCCATAATCCTGTATTGATGAAACTCTGATGCTTATACTGAATAAACAGATTAAAATAACACACACTGAATGGATGATAGGATAAGTGTTCTGCTGAAGCTGTCTTATTTTACAACATTAGATCAGATTGTCAAATTCAGTGACAGTCTGATCTAACCATGGTTATTAGATGCATGTAGAGAATTATCTCCAATTTCAGGGTTCGTCCTTCCATTGTATTTCCCAGCAATGAATAACAGGTAGAAAACAACCAAAGGCTGAATGTTCAGGAAAATTATTCATGGTTTCATCACTCAGAGACTCTGATCCTGGATCAGTTTATAACAGTTTATAACAAAGACCAAACTTATCAGGGAACAATAAATACTGTATTTCCTTTGACAAAATCTGAATGTATCAGAGAAAAACTGAAGAAGTGAGACAGATTATCACAGAGCCACCTGTGGATGTTACAGAGGATGTAATAAGCTGACAATTTCAAATCAGACATGTTAAAAAGTAGTTAGGAAAAGAAAGCAAACTGAAGATGGTTCTTAAATGGAGCAAAAAGTTTACTTCTCTTTTCTAAAGTTACAATAGTTTTCTTTTTTTTTTAAGGAAGTTATTCTGCTGTATCCAGAGACACCAATTAGATTCTGTCTATCAGCCCAGTCAGTCAGTCAGAAAGGAGGAATAAGGACAGAGGAGAGCTGGGCCTGCAGCTTTAAAGGGAGGGGGTCAGTGACAGGCTGCAGCCCCCAAAACAAGCACGTGGTTTACAGGAAAAACGTAGCCTGCTCAGGCTCAGCTGATTTCTTTGAAACTGCAGTACTGCGGACTGGAGAAGCCGCTCCGAGTCAGAGTTAAACTGTGGATTGATATTACCCACAGAGGACAACTGCACAGCTGGTTTCCTTCTGGTTGGAGCCTTTAGACTGGGGTGCTGCCTGCAGCAGGAATTTGACCCACTAATCAGTTTTAACCAGTCAAGCCTGAATCTTGGAGAGGATCTGAGCAGAAGGACACTTACTGTGCTGAAGCTGCATGCTGGGTCCAGCTGAGGTCTTCTGTGTCCGAGTCTGTAGCTGTAGGAGGAGAACACATGCTCTGCTGCTTTATAAAGTATCCACAGGGGACCAATAAGCGCACAGTACACAGATGACATCATAGTTTAGATAAAGTTATTAGGGGGGTGTCAGTGTCTGCTCCTGCCTTTATTGGCTCTTGAAGACATTATCAGAACAACAGCTGAACTGTGATAATCCCCCATGTTCAAAGTTAGAAGTTAACACGGATAAATAAATGTAAATTGAACTTTATTGATCTTACAATTAAGAAATGAACTCTTTGCATTTAACCCATACTCTTTGGGGAACAGTGGGCCGCCCTATGAAGCGCCTGCAGAGCAATCAGGGGTTAAGGGCGTTTGCTGAGAGAGCCAGAGTGGAAGTCTGTGGGAGTGGTTTTCAACCTCACAACCTCAGGATTCCAAGCCCTATGACCTAATCACTAGGCCGTCATTCCACCCTAGGAACTAAGGTTGTCAAATGGTTACAACCAACACAAAGGCTGCACGGTGGGGCAGTGGGAAGCATCCTTGCAGCAAGAAGGCTCTGGGTTTGATTCCTGGCCCAGGGTTTTTCTGCATGGAGTTTGCATGTCTCAGTCTCAGTACATGGGTTCTCTCCAGGTACTGTCCCAAACATGACTGTTAGATTAATTGGCTTTTCTAAAATTTACCTTAGGTGTGAATGTGTGTGCATGTTTGTGTTGTTTGTATATATATATATATATACAAAATTGCCCAATCGCCCGGGGCAAGCTGTTTTTATTGTCGGGAGAGTACACATTTTTTTTTTTTTCATTTGCACTTGCCCGGCGGGCAAATGCAATGATTACAAAAAAAAAAAATGTATCACTCAAAATTACTTTAAAATCCCCGACATTCGCTGAAAACGACCCACAAGCGTTGCCGGCGCCATTTTTGTGGTTTTGTACACATTCTGGCGAGATTTGAAAAAGCCGCGTGATTTTCCGCTAGATGGCGTGATTTTTCCTCTCCTTGGGGAGAGCAGCTGGATGATGAATTTAATCTATACTATAAAACTTACTGAATTACAAAAAAAAAACATGTTTTATTGATATATATACAAAAATGAATATTAGGAACTATATATATCAAACATTATACTGGGCAAGTAAAAATTGTTTCTGGGCAAATGAAATGTGAAAGCCACTTGCCCAAAAGGCAACTGGTTAAAAATCCTTAACGTCAACCCCTGTATATAAACGCTTTAAGTGTATATATATAAACACTAAAAAAACTTTTTTCACCACTGGCCCCCTTTAACAAGAGCATAAACTATGGCATTAGCAATGATCTAAAATACAAATTCAGTGATCTTGCCCTGATAGCTGGGACTGAGCCGTCTATAAAGAAGCAGGAGCAGGTGGATTAGATGAGTAGTACCATAGTTTCATAATTCATTGAAATTGGATGTGTATCTGGTTGCGCATCGACAAATGAGCTGATGGTATGGATATCCAGTGACAGAGCACCACCGGTGTACGGGGGTCTAAGCGGATCCGAGAGTGAAACAATATTTGAAGGCAGGATCATAAACTGACTGCACAGATATTAAAACTACTTTTTACCCACTGATCACAGCAAATATAGCTGCCATTACAGGCAAAAAAAGGATAGGGTAGCTCCGCCAAACGGGCATCAGATGGACTTTTCGACCGAGCTGCTAGAGCAGCAAAACTAAACTTGTACAAGCATCAATAATGAAGCAGCATGCGCGTTTTTGCTGCTCCAGCTGCTTCCGTAGTGAACGTAGCATTAGGCAAGTGAAATAATTAGCAATTAGGCCAGCTATTAGAGCCATGATCATCACTATAATATTTTTACACTTTGTTTATTAGTCAATGTTTTTTCCACTGCTGAAAAGTCACAGCAGAGAAGAGAAGAGCAAACTCAAAGAAATTCTCACGGTAGATAAGACGATAGACAAAAAAACATGAAAGTTATAACGATTATATATCAGAGTAAGAAGGTTATAAACTATACACGAGAAATCAAGGATAAAAGACCACAAAAGCATGAAAAAAAAATAAAATGAAATTATTCAAAAAGAAAATAGTTAAGTATATCCACATCCGAGGAGTTAAGCTAGAAATCTCCATCACTTTGTAGGGGAAGAAAAGAGAAGAGGGGTAAATAAAACCCCAGCATATGTTATATTAGTCAGCTCGCTATAAGAGAGTTTAGTCTTTTTGGAAAAAAAAAAAAGGAGCCCTCATTTTTGTGAATCTTAAAGGGGCAACTATTATGTGAAAGTTGGATATATATTTTGAAAAGTAAGGCAGTTCTATTACACAGTTCAGTACACAGACAATTCCAACTGCTTAACATAATTTAGACAATAAAATAGAAGAAAAATAAAAAGAGAATAAAAGGAAGTAAAGATTAAGAAATATGATGAAAGCAGGAAATAACTCAATTGGACCAAAACATTTAACTCATGATATCTCAGTTAACAGTTTAACTTGAACAAAGGCAGCTCTAAACAAATGGGTTTTAATTTTGACTTAAAGAACTCAGGCTTGCAGAACCGTTACAGTCTAATGGGAGTTTGTTGTTGTTCCAGATAAACTGGAGCATGAGAAAACGTCTCTTTAACAAAATCTGATGCATTTCCCTGCTCTGCCCCCAGTATTTATAATTTTTTACATGTTTTTACCATTTAAAATTCATCAAAATAGCATAATGTCTGTTTGATTATTTAAATATGTTTATTTACTTATGGTTCCTCTTTTTGATTTAAAGCTACAGTGTGTAATAATTACAGGGATATACAGTCAGAAATCTAATATATTATACATAACTATGTTATTTATCATCATCTACGAGCTCAGCCTCTTAACCTTAATATTTGCGTTGCCTTAGAATTCGTTATTTATAATTACATAGGAGCGGGTCTCGCAGCCATGGAGGCAGACATCTTTGCGCTACGGCAGCGCAGAGCCAACAAACTAGCGATTGCGAGATCGCCCATTACGCTCGAAAGTAACTACGGCAAGTTGTCCCGCGGTGGGGGGGGGGGGGGGGGGATGTTCATGTTGCTGCAGTCTGCAGTTTAACCGCTAGATGTCGCTGAAAATTACACACTAGCTTTAATTGATTAAAGAAAATTATTGGTGAACTTTAATCAAAAATACTACTAAGATAACGCATTAGATGGATGGATGGATGGATGGATGGATGGATGGATGGATGGATGGATGGATGGATGGATGGATGGATGGATGGATGGATGGATGGAGCACAGAGAAGAGGAGGAGCTGATAAGGATAATGAGGAAGGAGGAGGGCGGTCTATGTCCCTCTCTGTCCCTGTGTTTCTGTCCACTGTCGCTTCAGTTGATTCATGGATCAGTAGATCAGCGTCTGATCAGGACAGCAGAGGTTTCTTCAGCTAGAGGTGAGTTCATGTTTAGAAGAACTGAGCTGCTTTAATGAAACTAACCCATCCCATCAGAAGGACCCATTAGGACTCATGAGGAGGACCATTTGGACTGGGTGGACTGCGTCTCCGTCTGATGATGTTTTTTTAACCTTTAGCTTTATGACATCAGCAGCTTGTCTTTTTTTTAATTAGACGTCTGCATCACCAACCTGCTGCCTAACAGCTGACCAGGTCTGATTTGGTAACTTTTGAATTATTCTGAAGTTTTAAACCGGGTTGTAGAAGGGTTCTGATTGGCTGAACATGTTCGTTTGAATAATCAACATAATAACTTTATGATTCGCTTTTAATCTGGAAAGCAGAACGTTAAAGGTGGTGAGGAGATGTTCTCCTAGCAGAACCAGGCAGTTTTAACTGGAACCAAACAAACGACTTCTGTCATGAATAGACGGCTGTTTGTGTCTACATGCGAGTTGTCATGGAAACCAGTTATTAAATCAGAGCTGGTATGGAGGCAGCTCATCTCCTCAGCTAAGTGTCATTGAATGTTTCTCATCAACAGAGACACAGTCATGTCCAGATATTTCTGCAGGAACTCTTTTAATAGAGTCCCAGGATCTGATCCAGAACAGTTCTGGAGATGAAGTTCTTTAATACTGCCTTCTACAGAAGATCACTGGTCTGATATTCTGCCTCATGTTGATGAAAAAAAAAACTAATTAAGATGTTTATTTCTTATTAAAGTTTAATTTACCACCAACAGGATCCTGTTTGGGTTCTTTTTTATTTTTGTTTCCAGCATTTTATTGAATGAATGACACTGTTACAAGAGCAGCACAACAAACTTCACTCTGCATTTAATCCATTCCTTTGTGGAGCAGTGGGCTGCCATTTGGGGTGCCCAGGGAGCAGTGTGGGGTTAAGGGTGTTGCTCAGAGAGCCAGAGTGGCAGTTCTTAGGAGTGGGTTTCGAACTGTTAACCTCAGGATTCCAAGCCCTATGCCCTAACTAGGCCGCCACTCCTGCATAACGTGTTTGGGTTCCCACAGAACGTTTTGGGCGTCAAAGCATCTGATTTAAATGCAAAATCTATAGTGGACGGCGCAGAGAAGGCCATGGATACATCCCAGCATTTGACACTGGAGTTGCACGCCGGAGCATCAGCCAATCAGAGAAGCTGATCCAGGAGTTTGTTGGAGAGACAGAAAGTATATACAAGCTGTTATTGTTTCTGCAGACATTCTGCATATGAAAAATAAATACATATTAAAGGGTTAAACAGCAAAGCTTAAAAAAAGATTGGATTTTGGTGGATAAGGACAAAAGAGAAACCTCTGATCACTTTTACTGCACTAAAATAATTTTTACGATCAAAAAGGAAACTGTTTATAAATACCCAAATTAACTAAAAATATTACAATCTGCCAATGAAAAATATTTTATTGTATATCCGGATACTTTACTAGTGTTGCGCTGATGCTATTTTTTGGCCCTGATACCGATACCTGATACCTGGCTGTGCAGTATCAGCAGATACCGATACCATCTGTTAAAATTGATGTTTGTGTGTGTATATATGAAGAACTAATACCTGGATGTAAAATAATTGCCATCATGGCTTTGTCAAGCTGCTGCCTACCTTAGTAAAGCAGAAAAAACGAATACAAAGTGAATCCAGTAGAACTTTTTATTGCCTACCTGGAATGGGTGACAATAGTTGAATAAACTTATGGCTCTCAAAATGCTATCGTTGTCCTATTTGTTGGTACTCGCCGACACTGGTTTTACGGCCTTCCCGATACTGGTATCGGTAGTAGTATAGTTTTTATCTCAAACTATTTATATTCACTTGCAACCTCTAAAGGGCTGGTTATCCTCCCGCAGCAGTGTGTCGCAGTGAGCTTATCGCAGATATTTTTGATTTATGTCCAATATTGAAGCGTGATCTACACTGTTATTCCACGCCACAACGCAGGAGGGACAATCAGGAACTAGCTGTGGGTCTAGGTACGGCTGTGGCGGCGAGGAAGTGGAAAAATGCAAGGGGCAAGATCGTGCGACAACGAAGGGACATGAGGGTCCATCTTCACCAGTCGTTTTCCACAATGGCGGCCATACAAACAAAACAAGCCGGTAAGGTACCAAACAGGAAATACGCATAGAGTAGAGCGGATGTAGATTTGACCAATTAGAGGCTTCGTCTCTGCGGTCACCTACAATTTCGGTGCACCAGAGTGTCTGCGGCAGGGGCGGGGGCACATTTGCATTCACTGGGAGACACACGCAGACGACCTGATTTCTGAGTATAAATCAGCCTTAAGAAGGGCAGGAAATCCCCCACAGGCTGGCTGCAGAAGGGAGCTTTCATTAGAGATTTCCAGCGACGCCTTCTGGCGGTATGCTGGAGATCTGGCGCTCCAAACAAGAACTGCATATTTTAGTAGGATTATAATCCTGATGAACTGACTGCTCAGAGGATATTTTGAGGTGGAATTTCTCTTAAAGAAATCCTTTAAAACAAATTTTCCAACTTATCAAAATAAATAAAGCCAAACTTCTCTCTAGCTTGTTGCTACATATTTCAGTGTTTAAGCATTTTTGATGCCCAGATCGTGTTTGGTTTGAACATACGGTCCTGGAGGTCCGCTGACCTCCTCAGTCTGCAGGCAGGTTCTTCAGAGTCCAAAGTCCAAACAAACACTGGACCTCCGCAACCGTAACTGAATAATGGAAATGAACCTGAGATCTTTCATATAGATAGACCTGTTTTCTTTCAGATCCATCATCCATCCATCCATCCATCCATCCATCCATCCATCCATCCATCCATCCAGATGAGTGAGCAGCCTCCTCCCTATCGTCCTTTCTTCCCTGAAGGACCTCCTCTTTCTCCAGGTTTGTCACATGAATTTTCTTTCGCTCGGAACTTTATCAACCACTTTATTTATTTTATTAATTTAAACATAGAATATAAATTATTTTATAATTTCTCAGCCTCTTTATTTGTTTTGTTGATTATGTGTCTTTCTGCATCTTCTCACAGGTTTCTGCCCACCGCCCACCGCCTATCCCGGCTCCACCTACCAGGTACCCAGAATGTCCTGCAGCAGCTTCCTAACAGATAGACGTCATGTGACTGCTCCAACTGCTAGGAGGATCTTTGGCATCAATTAAAAGTTATTTTTATTAATTATCAGTATATAATAGAAAACATCTGGAGGATTTCAGCAGGTTCAGCTGGTTTTTCATGGTAATTTTGGTCAAGAAGGTCCATCTCTAAGTCACTTTGTTTGTTGCTTAGCAACATGGATGGATTGGTGCATTTTTAACCAGGTGTTTGTGCCGATCTCAGAACTTGGGGCTGATCCAATGTTTCGTTTATGAACCGATCAGCTTGGTGAAGGTTTGCGCTGAGTGTTTTCTAGAATGTAAATATTTGATATTAACATGTAAATGTATCCAGTCTGAGTCCATTAAGCTACAGATTCAGTTTAAGGTCACAGAGAAGCTCCAACCTTCTCATCTCCTCCACAGACCTTTCCTCAGAGCTTCCCTGCATCAGATCACACCATCTACCAACCAGGACACGTCGGACCACCGGGGGTCTCAGTGATACCACCTGGTTACTACGGAGATCACCGTGGAAACCAGCATCATCCCTCCCACCCTCCTAAGCCCTCAGGTAGACCTCCAAATCCTTCCAGCAGGTTTTGATCTCTGTCCCAGATGATGACAGGTTGATGATGTCATCAACAGTGATGGTGGTTGACCAGCGACCCGATCAGCCGCAGGGCTCTTTCGGCTCCTACCTAGCGGCCTGCTCTGCTGCTCTGTGCTGCTGCTGCCTGTGGGACCTACTGCATCGCTAAAGATCTCCTCATGGCCGTCCTCCTCCTCAGCAGCTGGAGACGGACCGGACCACTGGGCGTGTTCTGATGAGACCAGAATTATGTTCCAGCAAATTCTGCCATGTTTGGGTTTCAGATGAAAAACTCTGCTTTCTGATTAGATGATGAACAGATCTGGATGTTGATGAGAGCAGCTGAGCTTGTTCTAACCTCTGAGTTTAAATAAGTCCATTAAAGATCTGACCTCCAGAACTTCCCATCAACTGCTGGTTCCTGGTCGCTTAATGATCTTTTGGTCAAAGATGATCCATAAATAAATTCTGACTGATAGTTATATATGCATCATTTCTCTATGAAGTTCTATTTTCATTATATTTTTATTTACATTCATCCAGAATAAGCTCATGTGAGCAGCTTGGGTCTGGTTCTTTGATTCCTGGACCAGAACCCACACAGATCCACACATTAAACAGGTTTTATAATCTGCTTTTATGAACTTGTCAGAAATGTTCTTAAATGAAAACTAATGTAGTGGATCTGAATAATTCAGAGTTCTTCTCATAAATGAGTCTTTTAGTTCAGCCAGGATCAGAAATAAATCACAGAAACAGATTCCGGAGAAGTCTGCAGATCAGGGGATCCTCAGATTCCATCAATGCTTAAAGGCAGTTCCAACATTCCCTTCTGATTCCACCTGTTGTGCAACTTTAACGAATATATTAATTTCCCGTCCCAGTAGAGGTGGCCAATATGTTATTTTATCATATTCTGACTGTTGTATATCGCTTATGAACACACGCCTTATTGGCTGTGTTTTAAGAACAACAAATTGAAGTGTGAATCAAACTCAAATCATAGTCTATCAGAAAACTCTGCACATATATGAAATAAATTCACCACAACTTCCATTCAAAATGTAAGATTTTATTAACAAAATTATTCAGTTCCAGGTCGAATTTAATTCATTTAAAAACTCTTTACTACAAACTAGTGAAACAATAAACTAAGCTGCTATTTACAAAGAAGAAAAAAACATAATTATCAATGCAATGATGCAATAATATCACAGTTTATAGCATGGATTTCATTATTTGACCAAATGAGGTTTTATTAAATGGTTTGCTTAGTCTGAAATCAATAACCCCACTGGAAAAAAATCAAAATCTAGATGAGTCATTTTTTCTTAAAATAAGCAGAGATGGGAAGTAACAAAGTACAAATACTTCGTTACTGTACTCAAGTAGATTTTTCTGATATTTTTACTTTACTTTACTACTTATTTTTATGGCGACTTTTTACTTCTACTCCTTACATTTTTACACAAATATCTGTACTTTCTACTCCTTACATTTTAAAAAATTGGCTCATTACTTTAGTTTTGAATCATTTCAATGGAGTTACCGTTATTATTTTTCACGTCATCAATACCAAATTCAATCTAATTGGATGGGAATCTACGTTGCATTTGACGCACCACTACAAGATGAATCGACAGATTCGGCGGTATTCATTGGCGGCAAATCATTGCAGCTTGGTGGCGGTGGCGTTAGCATAGTAGCATGGACGACGAGATGATTGAAAATGAACACAACGGAGATCTAGTCCTATTGGCAGACATCCATTTAAAATGTAGGCAACGGCATGAAAAAAGTGGTTTCTACTTTTACTTTTATACTTTAAGTAAATTTACAAGCCTGTACTTTGTTACTTTTACTTGAGTAAAGAAGTTTAATCAGTACTTCCACTTTTACCAGAGTATTTTTTAACACAAGTATCTGTACTTTTACTCAAGTACGGAAAGTGAGTACTTTTGCCATCTCTGAAAATAAGTGCAATTGTTCTTGGATTGAGGAGGTTAAAGAGACATTTTGCCAATGGAACAAGACAATTTACATTTAAAGTTAGAAAACAGAATTGCATTGTCGTATTTCAAGTGCATATTATCTAATTATCTTATTTTAAGACTAAAACCACTCATTCCATTAGCAAACTATCTCATTTACCGACTCAAATTAAGGGTAAATGCACTTAATTTAAGCCATTTTTACTCATTTCTAGATCGTTTTTTCATGGCTTTAGTTAGCTTGGTTTAGTTCCCTCTTTCATTGAGCTAGTAGCAAACACGAGGATTCCCATAATAATACTTTTGATCATTATTTGGTAATCAAAATGAGCATGTGGGAAATCACATTGACTTTAACATTATAGGAGTGTTTAAACCATTAATGAAACAAAGCTAGTTGTAACAAAAGCTCAGGCATGTTACCATGCAGTTCATATTATTAGCTTTGTCTTTACTAAACAGTAAACACGTTTCCCAGAAAGCCATTTATCACAGAGATCAGCACAGGCAGAGATCTCTGCAGAGGGTGTTTTTATAAACAAATTCCTGCAGTCGTTCCTAACTGGGCTGAACTTGGTACCAGCAGTCCTGAGCAATAAAAACATATTGGAGCTGAACTTCAGAAACTTCTCTAAAAAGTTCTGTTGTAGCTCAGAGATTCTCTACAAGTAAACATCCAGCAGATAAACGCTCAAACTCTCCAAACAGAAGTAAACAACCTGTCCTGTTACCGTGGAAACCAACATGAGGAAGCAGAGCTGCTGATGGATCAGATCCAGTAGATTTCCCTCCAATCTCCACATTCAGTCAAATTTAAAAAAAATAAATGAAGGTGAAAGATCAACTGATCTGTGGTCAGAACAGAGTTTAGGATTTCTGCTGGGAACCAGAGCTTCTCCTCAAAATCAACTCTGTGTGTTTCCACTTAAATGTGACAGAAAATAATAAAGAAACAAGTTATTCAAATAACAAAGTAGTCTGTTTATCTGCTGCTTTAAGAAATACTCAATAATAGAAATTCAGAGACCCTATGGTAAATAATTAGTAGTTTGACTGTTTTGTTTGGATCCACATTAGCTGTCATATTAACGACCTTTGGTCTTCCTGAGGTCCCAAAATAAAAACTACTGATTAAAAACAGTTTAAAACAACAGAGTAAGTCATTAAAGGGAAACTATAGAATCAGTATCATACATAAAATACAGCTTAGTTCTTAAGTCATGTGAGAATCTCAGAGATCCTCTTTAGTTCGGACAGTTCTGGATTGTCTGTGTGGGTATAGAGACAGATCCTTCCAGTTAGAGGAACTCTTGACAACAAATCATGTGTCTCCATCTAGAGGCCACTTTTTTTATGTTCTTTTTGACAATATAGCCCTGAGAATTGTCTTTGTGCTGCATAAAGCCCAACAGATTAGCTTGTGCTAGTGGAACATCATGGCTGCTAGCATAAGGCTCCACTTAATAATTGTGTATGAAGCTTTATTAGAAGAGGCTATAAAAACATCATATGCAACACATACAAAGACGGAAAGGGAGAAGAGAAAGGAAAAATGATAAGAAAAGAGAAGAAAGAAGGAAAAAAAGAAAAAACAACAAAAGAAATAAAAAAAACTACAAGTAGTTAGCTGGAGGAATAAACAAGACCCCTCCCCTTTTTTTCATGTTGATATTAACTAGGGTGACCATATTTTCATTTTGAAAAACCAGGACACCTTGGAGCGGGGGGGGGGGGGGGCAGCGGCGGGGGATCTCTGTTCCCATGCATAGGCCTAGGTAATCCTACAATAACATGATATTAACAGTTGATTTATTAAAAATGCTTTTCAGTAAAAGTCAACAGCAATAACTCCAATAACAAATGATAATTTTATTCAAAATGTATTTATTAAAAATGCTTAACAATTCCTGTAATGAATGAATAGCACAATGAAAGAAATAATGTCTCATCTAAACATCCCTCACTTAACAATAAAAGTTAACAATAACTCTCAACTCTCAATAACAGATGATACTCAGCCTCAGCAATGAACGAAATAATGTCTGTTCTGTAGGTTATTGGAAAAAATAAACAAATGAGCTAATTAACAAAAAAAATACCTCTTTTGTAGCAAAAATAACTCAAAATGTACCAAAAACGAACAAACATATCAATAGAATATCTTGACTTTCGGAGTCCAGGTGGCTTTTCAGATCCCTTGCACCTGCCTTGGACACCGAGACATATGTGCCTGCTTTGCACATTGTGCAAAGCAGGCACATATGTCTCGATCCGGTCTGAAAGCGGGGAAACTCTTTTGTAAATTGTTGGTAAACATACATTTGTGCCTTTGCATGTTGTTGGCGTACTGACAACCACGCTATATTCTGATTAAGAACAGGGCTGCCCGCACTGGCGCGGCTCAGGGGTGACGTCACACGCAGCGTCGTGCGCAGTGCCCTAGCGTCTGTAAATTTAATGGTACAATGAAGGTAATTTAAAAAAACAGGACATTTCCTCACTTTCTAAAAAAAACCCGGGACGCCCAGGACAGGACGTGAAATACGAACATGTCCTGGGAAATACGGACGTTTGGTCACCCTATATTAACCATGATCACTGGTGTAGGAGGATGCAGTTTTGCTTTGCTACTGGAGTCTCCTCTCCAGACGAAACAAGAAGAAGCAGACTTGTGTGTTGTTGGCTAAAAATAATAATCAAAATAGCCCTTCTTTTTTTGTGCCATTTTTAAGCTGACGTTCTTTACAGGTGGAGTAGATTTGTAACACAGGGGTTCTACACATCATTTTATTTGGTGGTTTCTGAAAAGTTACAAGTTCCTGTAAAATTACTTTGTAAAAAAAGACCATTAGGATAGTCCATATGATCTATGTGCTTGTTAAAGCCTAATATCATCTGCCTGTTAAGTGTCAAGACTATTAGGACAGCTGATCAGGATCTAATTAGGATATCTATATCTATCTATCTATATTATAGATAGATAGATAGATAGATAGATAGATAGATAGATAGATAGATAGATAGATAGATAGATAGATAGATAGATAGATAGATAACGATATATATATATATATATATAGATATATATATATAGATATATATATAAATATAGATATATCTATCTATCTATCTATCTCTCTCTCTCTCTCTCTCTCTCTCTCTCTCTCTCTCTATATATATATATATATATATATATATATATATATATATATATATATATATATATATATATATATATATATATATATATATATATATAATTAGTATTGTATAATTAGTCTTATATCTGCAGACTGATTGAAACTATGAACCGGGCTAAAGATCCATAGTTCAAAATGTTTTCCCTTCCTATATGAAAGGTGCATCTGTGATGTCATTTCTACTGGGTTTCTTTTATATTTTGTTTTATTTGTTTTTTTTTTTCACATCATTACCGGTAGTTTTTTTTTTGTTACAACTTTTGTATTTTGTATTTAATATAGTATGTATAAACAGGCACTGTTATGTAATCAGCACAGGGCTGTTATAAGCGCTGCACTATCCTCCTGAGTTCCACAGTGAACAGCCTTCTAGCCTCACAAAGCACTGATTTTTGTGCTGAATCCAGAGAAATTGGATTCGGCACAGAGACCTCTTGTCTCTTTCTAACAAGCTGCATGGCTATCTCTGTCTCAGCTGCTGTTTGTGGCAGCCTGATGATTGTTGTTGTTACCATGTACTCTGCTAAAGGTTTAGGTGGCTGGAAGATCATTTACTAAATAGAACAGTTTAGATGCAAAAGGTCTATTTTGTTCACGTCTTGCTGAAAAGCTCTTTTCTCCAAGAAAGGTGGATTTATTCCCTGCATTTTTTCATTTATTTTTTTGTTTTTCTGGCTGTACTGTTTAGGCTGCTGTCACTGTTTAGAGTCACTAGCAGAGTTTCATTATCACTGTACCCAGAATGAACCTCCACTCTCACTGCTAATCATCTCCAAATTATGTTTTGTTTTAGGCTCAGCCTAACCTCAGATTGAGTCTGTACTGTGATATATGATAAGATTATGAAGAAAAATATAATCAAACAGATTTGAATATTTGAAAGAATGTTAGAACTTAATTGGCTGTAGGTTCTAATTGGAAGATGGTTTCTCCTCCTCCTGCTCCTCCTGGAAGTTAAAACTAAAACACTGCTTCTTGGTCTTAAGTTTATCTCCATATAGTGTAACGATTAATGATGTCCCAATAAATCCACTAGAGGAAGAGTCCCATTGACTCAGAAACTTTACAGACTGTTAATAATTAACAACCCACTGAAAATACAATTTGCTCAAGTTTTAAAATTATTAAACCCTAAACTACAAACAAAAGAGAAACAAATGTATTATGAAGCTTTTTAACTGCTTTTATGAACAGAGATTAGAAATTATTACATTCAGAAACCAAAAGCCTCTTTTCATCTCATTGTATTTAAACCCACAGCCAGAATAAACAAATGAAAGTTACACAGAAAAATAGAAATAATTTAGTCCGATTAAGCATAAAAAACAATTAAATCATTGTTATCAAACAATTATACAATATGATTGAAAATGCTTCTTCCTACGGAAGCCCAGCAGGTTGTTTGTTTCAGTGATCCCTCTGATCATAGCAGCTAATTACTGGATTTTACAGCCATTCTTCTTTACTGCTAATGCTATACCTGCTACAGCCAGACCAACTCCCACTCCAACAGCTGCTCCTACTGGTCCCCCTAAAGCTCCAATGGATGCAAAAACAGCCACTTCTACACCCACTCCCACTCCAGCTCCCACTCCAGCTCCCACAACTCCAGCTGCTAGAAGTTTAAGGACAGGATTTTTGCGCTCTGCTCGTCTTCGTGCTTCATCAACCGTCATGTCAGGGTGCTTCCTCATAAGTTTTTCCATCTTCTCTCTTATGGCTTTCTCAGCCTTATCTAACAGATCATTGGTGTAGTATTCATCTCCATTCATCTCGATCATCCTGTTGATCTTCTCCAGCAGCTCTCTGACCTGTTCAGGATTGTTTCTTTTGTTGTTGAAGAAATGATATCTTCCACCACAGCGAGAGACGAACGAACGGAGAGATGGATTTTTAGAAATGAACATCTCCATGGAGATGCCCTCCTCCTCCATCTCATCTCCTCGAGTGAACAGCACCATGGTGTACGCTGCCGACCGTTCTCCAAAGACCTCCTGAATTAGCTCAACTGTTTTTTGTTCTTCATTAGTGAATCTGTCTGGACGGAGTATAACCAGGAACACATGAGGACCAGGAGCCAGGAAGGAGATGCATCGGCCGATCTCCATCTTCAGCTCCTCCTCCGTGTTAAAGGTGCCATAAAGACCTGGAGTATCGACCACGGACAGAATCTGACCTTCAAACTGCCCCATCTCCTTCTGACACGCTGATGTTACAGAGGAAGAAGACAGTTCAGCCTTAAAAACCCTCCTGCCTAAGATGGTGTTTCCCGTTGCACTTTTTCGAGATCCAGTTCTGCCAACCAGAACCATCCTGAGGTCTGATCCCTCGGTTTCTTCTGAATCTGAGAATTTTAACACATAAAAATGAACAGTTTGTTATTAATAACGATGAAGGCCAAAAAAAAAGGGTTTTTAAAGCCACATCAACAACCTGCATGAATAAAAGGATGAACCTTTTATCTGATTGAACAACTTCTATCATTTATATCCTGCAGCGCAGTCATTCACAGGATCCGTTCTGTAAATGCAGGAATACAGGCTTCCTGTTTATGTGCTTCACTAAGGTCTACTACGTGCAGTTTGCATATTTAACCATAAAAGGAAATATGTTGTATTTGAGTTTTAAGGAAGTCAGATGTTCAAATGTCAACAGGAAGCTGAACAAGCTGGACCTCTTTAAAGATTTTATCTTTAAGTTTGAAACTAAAGAGAACCTCCAACAGAGAATAGGAACAGACTCTCTTAAAGGAGCATCACTATTTAACCTTCTTTTAATCTACTGTTTCACATTTAAAACACACGTGGGGTAGGAGACAGAAATACTAAATAAAAACTTTAAAACATTTGGAAAACAGGGATGAGCAAAAAAATTACAGAAACTCAAACAGCTGAGAGGGAAAAATGTCAGTTTCATGATGGAAAAGGGGAAATATAACTGTCTGTATATAAAGAGCCCTTAAATAAATCAGATTGTTACTGAAAAACCTTTATTTTACTGACTCCATGGATTAGATTTTGATTTCCAGCTTCTTTTCCATCCATCCATCTTCCTCCGCTTATCCGGGGTCAGGTCGTGGGGGCAGGAGCTTAAGAAGGGAGGCACAGACTTCCCTTTCCCCAGCCACTTCTTCCAGCTCTTCAGGAGGAACCCCAAGGCATTCCCAGGCCAGCCGAGAAACATAGTCTCTCCAGCGTGTCCTGGGTCTTCCCCGGGGCCTCCCCCCGGTGGGACTTGCCCGGAACACCTCACCAGGGAGGCGTCCAGGAGGCATCCTAAACAGATGCCCAAGCCACCTCAACTGGCTCCTCTCGACATGGAGGAGCAGCGGCTCTACTCCGAGTCTCTCCTGGATGACCGAGCTTCTCATCCTATCTCTAAGGGAGAGCCCAGCCACCCTAAGGAGGAAACCCCTTTCGGCCGCTTGTATCTGCGATCTCGTTCTCATGACCCAGAGTTCATGACCATAGATGAGGATAGGAACGTAGATCGACCGGTAAATCGAGAGCTTCGCTTTTTGACTCAGCTCTCTCTTCACCACGACGGACCGGTACAGTGCCCGCTTCACGGCAGACGCTCCACCAATCCGCCTGTCGATCTCCCGCTCCCTTCTTCCCTCATTCGTGAACAAGATCCCAAAATACTTAAACTCCTCCACTTGGGGCAGGACACCCCCCCTGACCCGGAGAAGGCACTCTACCCTTTTCCGGCTCAAGACCATGGCCTTGGATTTGGAGTCACTGATCCCCATCCCGGCCGCTTCACACTCGGCTGCGAACCGATCCAGCGAGAGCTGCAGATCACGACCTGATGAAGCTAATAGGACCACATCATCTGCAAAAAGCAGAGATGCAATCCTAAGGCCACCAAAACGGATCCCCTCAACACCTTGGCTGCGCCTAGAAATTCTGTCCATAAAGGTAATGAACAGAATCGGTGACAAAGGGCAGCCCTGGCGGAGTCCAACTCTCACCGGAAATGAGCCCGACTTACTGCCGGCAATGCAGACCAGACTCTTACACCGGTCATACATGGACCTGACAGCCCGTATCAAAGGGCCCGGCACCCCATACTCCCGGAGAACCCCCCACAGGGCCCCCCGAGGGACACGGTCGAACGCCTTCTCCAAGTCCACAAAGCACATGTAGACTGGTTGGGCGAACTCCCATGCACCCTCCAGAACCCTGCTGAGGGTGTAGAGCTGGTCCAGCGTTCCACGACCAGGACGGAAACCACACTGCTCTTCCTGAATCCGAGATTCGACTATCCGACGGACCCTCCTCTCCAGCACCCCCGAATAGACCTTGCCGGGGAGGCTTAAGACTGCGACTCCCCTGTAATTGGAGCACACCCTCCGGTCCCCCTTTTTGAATAGGGGGACCACCACCCCAGTCTGCCAATCCAGGGGGACTGCCCCCAATGTCCATGCAATGTTGAAGAGTTGCGTCAGCCAACACAACCCTATAACATCCAGGACCTTGAGGAACTCTGGGCGGATCTCATCCACCCCCGGGGCCCTGCCACCAAGGAGCTTTTTAACCACCTCGGCGACCTCACCCACAGAGATTGGAGAGCCCAGTCCAGAGTCCCCAGGCCCAGCTTCCTCAATGGAAGACATGTTGGTGGGATTGAGGAGGTCTTCGAAGTATTCCACCCACCGACCCACAACGTCCCGAGTCGAGGTCAGCAGCACACTATCCCCACTATAAACAGTGTTGGTGCTGCACCGCTTCCCCCTCCTGAGACGCCGGATGGCAGACCAGAATCGCTTCGGAGCCGTGCGGAAGTCTTTCTCCATGGCCTCTCCAAACTCCTCCCTCACCCGAGTTTTTGCCTCAGCAACCATCCGAGCCGCATGACGCTTCCCCCCCCTGGTACCCATCAGCTGATTCCGGAGTCCCACAGGCCAAAAAGGCCGATAGGCCTCCTTCTTCAACCTGACAGCATCCCTCACCGGAGTTGTCCTCCAACGGGTTCGAGGGTTGCCGCCACGACAGGCACCGACAACCTTGCAGCTGCAGCTCAGATAAGCCGCCTCGACAATGGAGGAACGGAACATGGTCTTCTCGGACTCAATGTCCCTCACTTTCCCCGGGATGTGTTCGAAGTTCTGCCGGAGATGGGAGTTCCCAGCAGACCCTCACAACACGTTTGGGCCTGCCAGGTCTGACCGGCATCCTCCCCCACCACCGGAGCCAACTCACCACCAGGTAGTGGTCAGTGGAAAGCTCAGCACCTCTCTTCACCCGAGAGTCCGAGACATACGGCCGCAAGTCCGATGAAACGATGACAAAGTCGATCATCGAACTGCGGCCTAGGGTGTCCTGGTGCCATGTGCACATATGGACACCCTTATGCTTGAACATGGTGTTCGTTATGGACAATCCATGACGAGCACAGAAGTCCAACAACAGAACACCACTCGAGTTCAGATCAGGGCGGCCATTCCTCCCAACCACGCCCCTCCAGGTCTCACTGTCATTGCCCACGTAAGCGTTGAAGTCTCCCAGCAGAACAAGGGAGTCCCCAGGAGGGGCACCCTCCAGTACCCCCTCTAAGGACTCCAAGAAGGGTGGGTAATCTGAACTGTTGTTCGGCCCGTAAGCACAGACAACAGTCAGAACGGGTCCCCCCACCCGTAGGCGGATGGAGGCTACCCTCTCGTTCACCGGGGTAAACCCCAACGTACAGGCGCCGAGATGGGGGGCAACAAGTATGCCCACTCCTGCCCGGCACCTCTCATCCTGGGCAACTCCAGAGTGGAAGTCTGTCCAGCCCCTCTCAAGGAGACTGGTTCCAGAACCAGAACCATGCGTTGAGGTGAGACCGACTATTTCTAGCCGGAACCTCTCAGCCTCACACACTAGCTCCGGCTCTTTCCCCACCAGCGAGGTGACATTCCACGTCCCAAGAGCCAGCTTCTGCAGCCGAGGATTGGACCGCCAGGGTCCCCTCCCCCGGCCACCACCCAACACACATTGCACCTGACCCCTATGGCCCCTCTCACGGGTGGTGGGCCCATGTAAGGGGGGACCCATGTTTCCTCTTTGGGCTGAGCCCAGCCGGGCCCCATGGGTAAAAGCCCGGCCACCAGGCGCTCGCCATCGTGCCCCCCCTCCAGGCCTGGCTCCAGAGTGGGGCCCCGGTGACCCGCGTCCGGGCGAGGGAACGCTGAATCCAAATATTTTGTTCATCATAGGGGTCTTCGGGCTGCGCTTTGTCTGGTTCCTGACCTAGGACCTGTCTGCCTTGGGTGACCCTAGTAGGGGCATAAAGCTAGCCTGACGTAGTCTGACTCAATTCTAGTCAGAATATGAGTCTGATACTGCTCCATAGAGCTGTGATTATGGGGCGTGTTTTGAACGAACCAGGAAAAAAAATGCCTCTGCACTCAATTGGATAGACCTACAACCAATAAGAGCAACGGAGTGCGTGACGTATCTTAAGCGAGGCATAGTTGTTGTCCACAAAAATCAAATCGTGCAGTTGCACGCCTATAATAAGAAGATGAGACTTGATCGCGTTTCTCTGTTCCTCTTTTAAAATTAATTTGCTGTCGATATCTTCTAGAACAGACCTAATAGCAGAATCTACTCACCTAAACTCTCCAGCGGCAGCCATTATTGTTGTCACCCAAGCGCGCTTTGGTCACGTGGTTGATAACGTTACTCTTGATCATCTGTCCATCATCGTATAAAGCCCGCCCTGACAATTTGATTGGATCGCCTGACAGTGGGCTTTAATACTCGCGCTACTATGGAGCAGAGCCAGACCGAACTTCCCCGAACTCAAACCTTGTGGGCGGGACTAAGTTCGGACTGGCACCCAGGCTAGCATAAAGCCCCAGACAGCATAGCTCCCAGGATCATTGGGACACTCAAACCTCTCCACCACGATAAGGTGGCAGCCCAAGGAGAGGTCCAGCTTCTTTTTTCCCTGATAATTATGATGATTTTATGTTGACAGCTAAACCAAGAAACATTTAATATAAAGATATCAAGTCAGACCAATACATTAAATCAAAATACTTAAATGTGGGCTTAATCAGAAGTTTGTTTAATGCTTACTCAGGGATTGTCTTTCAAAAGGTTCATTTAATCTAAAACATTGGGACTCCTGCAACATTTTTTTTAATTGCTGTCGTAAATTTCTCTTCCTTTTTTCTTCTGCCAACGCCCCACATAGGATTCAGTAAATGTTTTAGCATCAGTAAATGATCCTGGTAAACTTGATACACTCCACCTGTGTTGTGAAAATGTAAATCTGCATAGTTACTGTCCAGATGATGCCATATAAGGATACGTCTTCCCACGCTGTCAGATGGTGTTCATTCATAGAAATGTC